GACCAAACATGAGTGTTGCGAAAGTTATTCACCACATTACGCGTGAACGTAGATTCGTCTGTCACCAATATGCACTTCAAAAAGTCCGGATTATTGTCATGTTGATGCAACAACCACTCACAAAACCGCACTCTTGCTGGAAAATCGTCAGGTTGAAGGGCTTGTACACGTTGGACGTGAAACGGGTACAGCCCCTCTTCACGCAGCGTTTGCCACACTTTAGTTTTTGATACTTGCACTTCTCTAGCCACGTCTCTAGTGCTTGTTGAGGGATTCTCGTCTACGCGATTACCTCGCGTGAACGTGGCCGTCGGTTGAAGGTTGCATACTGACCTGACACACTGACCCCGACCCCCGACCCAGTTCTGTCGTTGAGCCAGTGACATAGTACCACTCCGTGATGTCGCGGCTACAGGACGGTATTCAGATATTTTTGATGTTGCAGAGCTCTTTATCTCGGTTAACTTAAGACATTGGTGTAAAAGGTACTAAGAAAAATTGCTTATGTTTTCAAGATATACACGTCTTGTAAAGGAAAACCCCAACTTTGCGGACACCCTGTATATTCAAAATGACCTCTTTCATTTCTGCACTCAGGTGTCTTTTTTTAGAGCGTTTCCTAGGTAGACTACAGGAGTTTACAACTTCATCGGCAGTATCTGTACTACTGGGCATTTTGCGCAAGCAGTTGATAACAATAACAAACAATAACAAGGTATAACAATAACAACGACAAACTCAACAACTTAATAAGATAACAAACGAAAACGTCCAAAGAAATATCAAATTGCAATGATGCACACGACATACGTAACACGTCTGAACGTGAATGTGACTGTGCCTTGATACGACTGCTCTGCCGCTCGGCATAGGCATTTAATTGCGAATTGACCAATGAGGGCTCCTGTTTTACGTCGAGACGGCGGCGTTAGCGTGAAAATCACCCGAACCTTTTGTTTACATCCGGTCTATCTCTTATCTGAATATACTTGTAGACTAGTTTTTTCCAAGAAGCTGCCGCTATTGACGAGATGTATTCGGCTCTTTGATAGAAGTCGACCACCCATCGAAACCGGTTGAGCGCTATTGCGGTTTTTGTTCGTCAACGCTCAGTTTTGGAAGCATTAAACTGCACAAGATTGTTGAGTCCCCTAGCAGTGTTAACCTGCAGTGTACGGAAGCTGCGCTGTCAAAACCCCGCATCAACAATTAAACAACAATGCTTCAAAATAAATTGAGCCCCTTGTAAGAGAAAGTTTGAGCTTCAATTTAGATACTGTTAACCTTAAAAATAATAATTCGTAATTGAGTTTCGATGCACTGAAAATGGCCATTTTTACAGTTTTTCATACTCTAAATCGCTTATACATCAATTGAAAGCAAGGTCTCTTTAACTTCCTTTATAGCAGTTTCGGTGCTCTGGTATCAATGCACAGGTTGTATCTTTGTTGATATTCGAGTATAAATAAAATTGAATCATCTTGTAGAATAAATAAAACAGTTGAAGTAGCAGAGTCTTTCAGCTGGCACCAGATGGTGACTGCAGAAATTCAGAATCTTTAGTATGCTGGCAAGGTGCAGGTTGGCATGCACATGACAACTATCTAGTGGCACATAACTTTATTCTGTTGACAACATTCCGACATTTCATTCAGACGACAAATCGCGTTTGATTAGTACACAGTAAATCAATGTACCTAAATGTCATGGATGTTGTTACAATTTTTTCAGTAATAATAGACATTACATACACAGTTTCAAAAGTAGTGGTGTTAACCAAGCACATTTTTGATATATCGTGACAATTTATTGATTTGGTTAGGCATACGTTATCTTATAATACTCTTGAATGGAATAGGTCCGGTACTAGCACCACTTTTATGTTCGAAATATAAGCTTATATTAGAGTTATTAATTTAATTATACCAAAAAACAAAAAGCTCAGAGGTTCATTCATGAGATTGAATATTGAATCCTGTTTTTCCTGTTTGGCTAAAAAAAACCTCAAAGAGAACGTATTCGTGTTTCTCAAAAAATAACACATTATCCATTAAGATTACGTCAGAGTGACATCTGATCAAAAATAAAAACTGGTTCAAATGTGAGTAATAGAGTGATAATGTGTGTCACACACGTACAGGGTGACCTATATATATATATATATATATATATATATATATATATATATATATATATATATATATTTTGAGGCGTGGTCATTGTCGTCTAGACCAGTTAGGTGCAAAATTAAAGCTACCGCCTTTTGTTGGGTACTTCGACAAAATTTAAGCAAAGAGGACTCTTTATACTTTTTTTAATTCTCTCTAGCTTTCAATGGACTTTGCCATCATCATCAGGAGCTGCAATTACAATGATAACAGTAGCAACAAAAGTGTAAAATGAATTTAAATTGAATCAACTTACAGTAGTATGTGAGGATGTTGCTAATTGTTGTTTTCGTATAGGATGAGGGAAACGTCCAGTAACATGGTGAGAGCTGGATACATACTTCTGTAAGTTGATTCAATTTAAATTCATTTTACACTTTTGTTGCTACTGTTATCATTGTAATTGCAGCTCCTGATGATGATGGCAAAGTCCATTGAAAGCTAGAGAGAATTAAAAAAAGTATAAAGAGTCCTCTTTGCGTAAATTTTGTCGAAGTACCCAACAAAAGGCGGAAGCTTTAATTTTTCACCTATATATATATATTTAAGGTGGATGATATTGCTAACTCACTTGAAAAAGAAGAACATTGATTCCGTGAAAATCATTATTTTGTACAAAATATGTAATGTTTTGTTTTCTGAAAAAAAAGAGTCTGCGGAAGCCTGAATATCGGTATAATTCGAGATTGTTGTTTTGAAAAACTAGATCAGGCTAACAGGCCAACAGCGGACTCAGTGATGACAAAAAAATTATAATCGGATTTCACAATACAATTTCACCCTTACAAGTAAAGAAAAGATCTTACGTCAAGAGGTACAACAAAATTTAGTTAAGTATTTTTTCTATTAAACATCAAAGTTGAAAAATTCACCTTTTCGCGTATAGTCAAAAAACTATGAAGTGAAGAAATAAGTGGACAACATCAGAGTTGTAGAGGTTGAAAAGGCCTTAAAAATGAGACCTCATATGTCCAGTTTGCTGCGAAGGCTATGTCGCCAGACAGCTCGTAAGAAATGACCATATAACCTTATAAGTTTTCAGAAAATGGTCAACATCTTTTATGATTTTTCTCTAGATAGTATCTACTACCTACTTAAGGTAGACCATAAATTGTTCGCTACAACTTCAAATTGTCTGTTTTGAACTTTTTGGTAAACAATGGATTTGAAATATGGCGATTATTTTTGGGAATTAGAAATTAATAGCTAAAGCAAATTGAAGATATGATTTTGAAGGTATTTTCATGTGCTACAAATTACCTCTGGAGTTATTTTACCGAAGTTGTTTTTTAAACTATTACGCTTAGTAAATGATCTACAACAAAAAATAAAGATGGTACCCTGCAGAATTTTTTGTATTTTCATATGAAGAACCTTTTGATTTGCCCTCATGAATATATGTAGGAATGGTTAAGGGATGGCACTTACATCTTCCTATGTTCAAAACAGTGCATTGACACAAATCTGTATGGAAACCGACTGCCGACTGTTTGCTTCCTCAAGTAAGCCCGAAAAACAAATTTATGAAAATAAAAAAAAAACTGATCATATGAAATCTGAAGGTACCAAATCGTTGATGGAAAATAAAAAAAAAACAACCGTCTGGTTTTTGAAATATTTAGTTTGTTATTTTCGCGGTTTCTTATTGGTATTTTTCCACATTATTTCACAAACGACACTTAAGCAGCATCATAATGTTACCACAGACCTGATAGCCAAAAATCTATTTTTGAGATATCGATGATTCAAAAAATTTTAAAAGCATCTCAAAACTTTAAAGTCTTCTAAGATTCCATTTATTTCTGGCTATAATTAAAACATTTTTGTAGTAGTCAACACAATTAATAAACCCAAGATTTTAATTTTATGGCCCTTTTCAAGCCTCTGTTGAACTGTTTCAAGATTTCCAAGTTGCATATATTTTTTGTCCGCTTGAGATTTTTGGAAACTGAATTCTTTGATTCTTATTTTTTCTGAACTTATGTTATAAATTATTACTGCATGCTATGGTATTTTTAAAACTATAAGCGAGTTAGTAAATACTATAAAATTGTCACAATAGTGACTTGGAAAGCATTTAGGTAATACTTTTACTGTTAAGGGAAAACTAAAATGATGTTTAATCAAAAGACAAAGACAAATTAATGGTTTCAAAGGCATTAATGCTCCTTTCAAACGAGTTTGCGCTGTGTCCTTCATATAAATGTGGTCCACGGTAAGCGTACCACCCTGTATAGAAGATATCGAGAGATTGAAAATATTTCTGATGAACGTAGTGAATCTAAATATGTAACAGCCTAGGGTATCGAATGTTGGCTAGCTGCCTATACTGATAATATGCATCCACTTTGTAGGTATATTGCTGCTTTTAGATTGGATTATTAAATATCTTTATATTATTTTTTGCCGCAAGTCAAGTTTCTCTACATTTTCAGTAAAGATATATGAGATTTATCCGGTTGCAAAATTTCAAATTACCCTGAGTAAGTTTATTAATACAGATGTATGTTAGTTACATCATAGAAGCTAAAAAATAAAAACGAAAATTTTAAAAATGTTATGAGGACAGCTTTTCGATATTTTTGGAAATGTTGTACAAATAATGAGTTTATATTATTAGCATGTTGCTCTATCCAAAAATAACATGGAAAACATATGATGGTTGGCGAATTATATAATTCTAGAAAAAAATCACATACGAAAATTGCGAGTCCAAAGTAGAAACACAGGTAAATCAATGAGCAGATAAAGTACTGTCCATCGCAGGTGACTGGGATGACCAGAGGTCTCCTGCAAAGTTGTTAGAGTAAATAGAAGGAGTAAAGGACATACCATGCAAGGCCGTGGTGAGAAGAATAAATCCAAGAATGAATAAGAGCCGAGAGGATCTCCGGTAGACCTCCATGGCTTCAATCACCTTAAAGCTAACGCCGCCGGTCACATAGAAGTCGGGCACTGAGATATGGCGATGGTAAGCAGTAGTAGCGACAGATCTCCACAAATCGCCCCGCGACGACGCTTCACGCTCGACGGCGACGCCTTCGACGCTCGGCGCTCAGAAGCGTCGAGTCAGTACTCCAAAAATAACAATCAAATTATCCCTCGCGTCGCCTGTTGCGCCGATTGGTGGCCGACGTATTTAGTTTACACGTCACAGTTACGTCACTGGAATGCGCAACAGGTTCTTAGGGTCCAAAGCTAACTCGCAAAACTCCAAAGTGACGTTTGACAAGCTTAAGTACAAAGAAAGACAACTTGGTGTGCGGAAACTCAGATGAAAAACAAAGACAATCGTGAGCATGTTCGCAATAAAGGAAAAGGAGCAGAAATAGAAGGATTGGTAACCCGAGCGCCGTACGTTTCCGCTTATTGGCATCATCAGGGCCAAATGGATGTGCATCGAAAATACGTGCTCTTGTCGCTCGACATCAACAAAGATTCTGGTCCGGACTTGATTCAGTTCAGACACTGAAGTGATCGATGAGGTAGTTTTAAAAAGACAGTACCTTCGGGATTACCCTCATAGTTAGTAATCCGCACGCTTGATGTTCACGTAGATGCCCAAGAAATATTGGGAGCTGCAAGAACGCGTGACTAAATTCCAATTAATGGCGACACAGAACACCGATAGTGGTACCGGCGTACTACCATAGGCTGCAAACTAACGTGCTCTTTAGTTGTCGGTTGGCGCGAGTGGAGGTTGGTGCATCGAGACCTCCGTGCAACGCTCTGTTTCTGTTATACTGGTTGTTATTGTGGTGCGCAGGGACGCCTTTGCCGGCGGTTCCCCGCTGTGCCATGATGATGATTTGACTTGAAAGAGTGGACTGTAATTTTTTGATAATACATGTATGTAAAAATGTGACATGTCATAATATATAAAGCAATTGAATCAACCCAAACAATATCTATGTTGACAACAAATTCTTGTATACAGTGCTACCATCTAAATGTAATAGCGCGCGAAACCGTAATAGTAAGCATAGAAACGTTACAGTCATCATTTGTAGTTGTTCATAAAAAGCGAGTGGGGCATCTCTTTGTAATTTCACATTGAATCTTGTGTCTTCTTCCTGTCTTTCTGAGGAAACTAAATATCTTCACAGCAAGCCAAGTAAGTTATGCATACTCGTCTACTTCTGTATTGGCTTTTAAGAAGATGAACTTGGAAGATTTGCCGTTAATTGCACTATATTCATGTTGTATCTTTATATGGGCTTGCATACACTAAGTAGCGGCAAAAGTACGAACTGGAGTCTAGTCCTGTAGGACGTTGTCTATTATTGACAGCAAGCCCAAAATTCCAGATACTTATTTCCAAAAATTTTGACGCTTTAATTCGCCGAGTGAAAATTAAGGACTAATTCTTTAGTCTGTGTGAAGGTTACTTTGTCCTTAAATCGTTTCCGAAAAACGCCTTCGTTTCGAAGGCACAGGGCGAATAAAAATTTTGAAAAGCTTTTACGCCGTTCGCGTGCTGGAACGCTCGATAAAATTATCCCGTCCGCCTTTCCTGCCCGAAGTGTGAAAGCGAGAATTTCAATAACGTAGTACTTGTATACTCATGCTGGCATTATTATGATTACTGTGGAGTATCCTAACCACAATAACCGTGTAGGAGCTGGCAGATTATTTTATATATAACAAATGACAAACCAAAGAAAAACAAAATATTTAAGTAAAAAAATATCAATTATAAAATGCAGTGAAAAACTACAAAATGAAACAAGACGACTAGTATTTGTAAGACAGAAAATAAAAATATGGAACTATAAAATAAAACAAGAAACAAAAGAAGTAAAATATATGAATACTCGTCATTAATAAAATAAAACAACACGACTACTCATTTATGGAGTGTAACAAATAAAATTGTCGAATTCTAAAATATAACAAAGAAAAATATGATTATAAAAATAATATTATTATTACTACGACTAAACCTAATATTACTTCATCTTCGACTTCAATCAGTAGGTACCACTTCAACGTCTGTTTTTTATTTGACTTTTATTTTTATTATGGTTAACACTTTTTACTGTAATTTCATCACCAATACAGTAATTTATAAGAATACATATTTGCTTAAAACAAGAACACCGCCAGCCTTGTTTTGATTGTACTTGTACGTACAATGTGAAAATATGTATTGGAATCACCTTTAACTGTTACGAAAACATCATTACGTCTCAAATCTATCTCCATTAATATTAGTCCATATTTTCAAAGGTAGCAAAAACATCCGGTGAACTGGCAAAACCGCAATCCGGGTATTTTTTTCATCCAATTTCAGTTTTCGAACCGAAACGGGTATCACGAGAATCGATATCGAACCGAAAATATCGAAGTCGGAAAGGAACATCTCTGTCAGCTTTACTGAAATGCCAGATGTCGACGTCAATATTCTATCGTTGTGTGGTTCTGTGTCATCAAATTAGGAAAACAAATGGCGACGTCAGGGACGTTTATCTGACAGTAGTAAACAGGTGATGAATTTTTTCATTAAACCAGCAATTATCCCTCTACAATATGATTATCACTCTAAAATAGAGAGGGATACGCAAGACCCATATATCTAAAACATACTTTTAGGATGCACTGAAGATGGAGGAAATTATGACGACTTCCCAGGGGTGCGAGTCTGACATGGATTGCTCGGATAATGAATGTTACGAGGATTATTATAATATAAATGATGACAGTGATATTGAACAAGTCGATCCCAGGAAAGTAGATCCAGAATACTTCGAATTCAAGTGTCTTTATGAAGAAGAGGTAGATAGACTGCTGAACGAAACTGTTGAAACTTTGAGCAATATACTACATATACCACCATCACTAGCTAAGGTATTTGGCCTTTAATGTTCTATATAGACCCGTAACTAGAGTTTGACCAACACAGGATACATAGTTGGGTGTTAATTGCAACACTTCTATGTAATTCATATTATGAAGCACATTGATGAAACTCATCTAATGGAACCATTTTCAAAAAAGATTCAAGAAAAGAGTTGCATTTGAACATATGCATTTATGTCAATTATAACAGTAGAGATACACAGTCCTAAAATTCCAGAAGTATGTTTATGGTAGTATCTGCAAGATAAAAAACAAAATTTTGTATCAACAAATTGACACAAATGATATCATAACCCAAAAGTCAATCCGGTTTTAGGAAAAACTTTAGCACAAGTACATCATTAGTTAATATCTCCGATGATATCAGACATCATCAAGAACAAAAAAATAGTATGTGCATGGTTCTTCTCGATTCTAGTAAAGCATTCGACACTCTGAATCATGAAATGTTACTAGCTAAGTTACATTACCAGGGGTTTTTGCAGAACTCCGTAAATCTAATAAAAACATACTTAAGTAACCGTTCAAACTGTGTTATGTTAGCAAATGATTCGGCTATTTACAAAACCGATTTTAAACCTATAAAAAGAGGAGTTCCTCAAGGTTCAATCTACATATCTGACATGGTCAAATCAGTAAAATTTGCAAAGATAAAACAATATGCAGATGACTCACAAATATATCTCCCTTCCAATAAAACCACAATCCATATTGCACAACAACTAAATTCAGATCTCCAAAGAATTGACAGATTTGCAAAGCATCACAATCTTAAACTAAACCCCTCAAAATCGCAAGTAATGGTTATGAATAAAATGATAATGAAAGAGAACATTTTGAACAAAGTTTAGTAATTTCTATTAACAATGACAGAATCCCCATGGTTCAGGAGACAAAAAATCTAGGCATCATATTTGATAGCTCGCATGGCTTCAGCAGTCATATAAAAAACAGAACAAATTTAGCTTACATGCGACTAAAAAATATATAAAATACGTTTATCAGCCAAACAAAAATATTATTTGTGTAATACCTTAATTTTATCACTTTTTGACTATGGAGATGTCGTCTATGGTGATTCGCTATCGTCGCGAACCAAAAAATGCATACAAAAAGTTCAAAATAGTTGCAGGAGATTTGCGTTTGGAATTCCATATCGAAACCATATCACTCCTTATCTGAATAACTGCAACATATTAAACATGACGAATCGCAGAAAATATCACATGTTTTCTTTTATCTATAGGGTTATAAAAACAGGTCAACCGCCCTATTTAAGAGAAAGATTTGTGCCTTTGCCTGGTCCCCAGAGGAGCAGAAATAATCTCAATTTTATCGTACCTAGGCATAGAACGCGTTCCTTGCGACGATCGTTTACGAACTTCAGTTAAAAGCTCGTCAAAAACATTCTCAAAACTGACAAAAACGTTGGTACGGAATCACCAGCTACTTTAGCAGCGTTTGTGTGAGCAAAAATATCGTTTTTACATTCCTACTCGCTGACAAGTTGTATAGATTTGCTCTTCGCGTCCGTTGCCAGCTCCCGGGGGTTCTTTCTTCGTTTTTGCCTTTTTGTGTTTCACCGCCTCTTCATTTGCCTCTTTATTGTTTTTTTTATTTTGTTTAAGGACTTTTAGGGTGTTCAGGGCTTTCTCGCATGGACTCTTTGTATTAAAGGGTCCAATGTATCAGTTTTATAATCGAGAGACTGTCCTTTTTCTTCATTGCTCTATATGTAGAATTTCCTTTGTTTATGATGTTTATTCATAACGAAATAAATATTTTGAATTTGAATTTGATCAGAGACTGGCAATGCAGCACTCACATGAGTGATTCTATCAAATTGAAGGATATTTACTGAGCCTCTTTGCATTCATTTTTCTTTTAATCCTTCAAATCTAAAGAAAGTTATTCCATACGAAATCATCACTTGAAATGTGAAACTAGAGAAATGAATTTTGGTGAAACCTGGCTTTGTAAAATTGCAAATTATGAAACCTAGTGATCAGAGTCCTGAATTCAGGGGCAGATTTAGAGAGAGGTGAAGGGCATGCACATCCTCCTCTAGATGCCCGATTCTGCCTTTTTTTTCCTAAAGAGAATGGTATATTTTGCTGTGTCTTGGTGTAAAAATTACTTTGCTAGACCTGAATCATGAGATTTAAATTGAAAATATCCAATGAGGGTGGTAAATTATTTGCCTGTCTATACATTCTTGATATAGGCCCATGCATGCATAGTTGGTTTTGTGAGAATTAACACAGAACAACTGGTTTTTCCTTGTTTGTTTGGCTGGTACAGTGAAGTTAATTTTAGATGAAAGCTTTTGGGAACATATATGTACAATTATCAAAATAAATACTTCAATTTTACAAAGAAGTAATACTTGATAAATTAATTAATCATGTTCTGATGGTATTTTCACTTTATAGGCTATATACCTCAAAAACATCCTTTTATTGCATTTACGAGGGATGTCTTTTAAGTTTTGCATATGGAAATAAAACAACACGGTAGGTAGTTTTAAATGACTTTATTGTTTTTCGAAGTTTTCTCCACGAAGATTAATACACATCTGCATGCGCTCGAACCAATTTTCGAAGCACTTATTCCACTCGTTAGCTGGCAGATCCAAAACGGCATTTTTGAATGCGTCAACTGCTTCTTCTGGTGACTGGAACCTTTGACCACGTAGTCTGTTTTTAACTTTCCGGAAAGTAAAGAAATTGTTAGGACTTAGATCGGGACTATATGGAGGATGGTCCAATAATTCCACGTTTTCTTCCGCTAAATACAGCCTTGTTTTTTGAGATTGTTGGCTTTTCTTCACCTTGGAACACCCAAACAGCGCTCTGTCGTTTATTTTCTGGTTCATAACAGTAAATCCACGATTTCTGCTCTTCAGTCAACGAGAAACTAATTTTCTTACTCCTAATTCTTCATGTAAAATTTTTTGAATTGAGGTCTTTGAGATTTTCAAGGACGCCTCAATCTCGCGATATGTCACATATCTATCTTCAATGATGAGTTTGCGTACAGCATCGACGTTTTCCTGGGTGCCTGCCGTTTTTGGTGCACCCACCCTGGGATCGTCGCTAAGACTCACCCGTCCACGTTTGAATTCTCCATACCAACGGGAAATTGTCGACTGATGTGGCGCTTCGTTGCCGAAAACAAACAGTAACTCAGCAAGGCATTCTTGTTGCGATAATAGTCTGAAAGTTGTAAGAAATTATTACGCGTAAATGTTCTCGGTTGAGTTCCATTTTTCTAATGACTTGGTGACACTTGAAAATTCACTGTAGGCAGAACACTGCACGTATTGTTGTGAATCTTTGAATTTAAGTTTACTAAAGAGTGAGGTTAAGATTCAGTACTGACGTTCGATTCGCGCGGCCTACCATGTTTCTATATGCAAAACTTGGAAGACATCCCTCGTATATGTCTTTTATAGCAATGTGACCAAACATAAAAACATACCATAAAATGGATCTTACTATTGCACAGTAGGTGTCTTTTAAAGAAAAAATGTTTTTAAAATCGTGCAATGTTCAAACAACAAACCCCAATAATTTAATTTCCTTATTGATTATATATACAATGTGATTTTTACAAGAAAGATCAAGAACAACTCCGAGGTCTATTATGATATTCACTTGTTCCATGTCTACGGATTCAAGTTGATAGTTAAAATTAATTGTTTGATTTAAGAAACGACGCTTGAGTGCTAAAGCATGCTTCCCCCTATTCAATTCTTAATCACCAATAACCCTTCTCCCAGAAATGAACATCTTCCTGACACAAATGATCTGTTGCAAGCAACTTCAGTTCCATGAAATGGGTTTTTGCAGCATGAGATCAATAAGATCACTAATACTGTATTAAAAATTAAAAAAACCTCAAAAAATACCCGACAAAGGCAATGATGCAATTTGTGTGCCATGCAAAAAATAGAAGATATTAGATTGTTACAATTAATGAAAATGTATTGTTTCTTCTCAAGTCAGTGAGTTTGAATTTCATTAACTGATGATTTGAATCCAGTCTGCCTATATTGGCAAATGTCATAGGCTGATTCATATATCAGCAAATTAGGCTGATATTACTGATCTACTGATATGCATATTGGTACCACTTGATGCCTACCAAAATCATAATAATCGGTCCAGTTTCCCAGTGGCTTTTGCAACCTTTTTGGTATGTCTGAAGTGGTTTCCCATTTTTATGAAGAATGGACTTTGTTTTTGGCGTCCCAAATAGGTACACATAATTCACCTGAATAGAACAGATCACAACATTTGTATAGATTTGGCAATATACCAGTTCAAGTGACCAGTTAATACCAAGACAAGTGTACCTTGATAAGCCCATATCTATAGTTTTTGACATTGCAGGTCCTTCTGCATGGGCACCAGTGGAACATTGAAGAAGTAACTAGAAAATACCATGATAATCCTTCAAATACTTTAATAACATCTAAAATTGAGCCTGTAACTACTCATAGCAACATAATAATGGGTCGGTATATGTGCTGTCCAGTATGTGTAATGCCTCACCCAGTTGACAAGTTCCATAGTTTAACATGTGGACATTTGTTCTGCCGGGACTGTTGGACAATGCATTTTGAAGTACAAATCAACCAGGTATTACTAATTTTTTAATTGTTACTCTATGAAACCTCTGAAAACTAGTTCCATGATATGTGTACAATAATATTCATGGAAAGCTTGTAACCAACTTCACATAAATACTATATGCTGAAGAAAACCTTTGCGCTTTTTAATGAGATAGCTTTTTTTGTAGGGGATTTCCACTGGCATAGCATGTATGGCTAGGGAATGTGATGTATTAGCTCCTGAAGATTTTGTTCTAAGGCACTTAACGCGGCCAAACATGAGAGAAAAGTATCAACAGTTCTCATTCCAAGATCATGTGAAGTCCCATCCAGAGCTACGATTCTGTCCTGGCCCAAACTGCTCAATTGTTGTTCATGGTAGAGAAATCAAGGCGAAACGAGCTATATGTACACAGTGCAAGACCACTTTTTGTTTTAAGTGAGTACATTACTGCTTTAATATAATCAACTGCGGTTTAGAGAGGATATATTTCGCAGAGTAGTGGAAAGATGCTAAGGTTGTTCCGCTACATAAGTGTTCTGATCCTACTAAGTATGGTCAACTGAGACTGATAAGTTTACTGCCTATTATCTATTGGAATGCATTGTTTATGAGCAGCTCTGCGCCTACTTATATTCTAACAAGATTATTCCATCTAAACAATCTACCAATATAATAATTCCGCTTGACAACCAAAAAGCAGTAGCTCTCATACTTCTTGACTTTACTAAAGCATTTGATACAATAAGTCATCCACTTATTGTATCTAAATGCAGTTATTATGGATTTTCTAAAAAACCTCTTTTGTTTAGTCAAACCTACCTTGAAAATCGGTTTCAAAAAGTTTTTCTGAATCAACAGTACTCTGCTGCACAAAAAAAATGTTCTGGTGAACCACAGGGATCTGTGTTAGGACCCCTGTTATTTTCCTTATATATCTCAGATTTATAAACAAAGGTAAAATCATACAGCATCGATTCTTCTTGGCATAGTGTCTACCAATGTTTTGCAGCATTTTGGTTTAAAATTATCCCAAATTTCCTGAAGTTTCTGCTTTAATTCGGGAATGGTGCGGACTGGAGAAGTACGAAGTGCTTTTTACACGTAGTGCCATTGGGTCTCAATTGAAGGCTATTTTAGAACAGAAATATTCAATTCCTGTAACCAGGATGTTACGCTTTTAGCTGTATGGCATGTTGCACCATCCTGCTGAAATATGGATCCACCTTCTCGTAGTTGAATCGTGTCAATGGATGGCAGCAATTCTCGTAAAATGATTTTATATTTAGTAGCATTAACGGTGCCATTGTAAAGAAGATGTCCCATTTCTTCTCCCATAATTCTGCTACGTGAATCGAAAACACATACTTCAAACTTGGATTCGTCACTCCAGATTACTGAATCCCATTGATGTTGTACCCAGTTTTTAAGAGCTCTTGCCCATGGAAGTCGGTTTCATTTTTGTTTAAAAGAAAGAAGTGGCTTTTCCTTCGCCTAAAATGAAAATTAAATAAGCTTGAGCAGTCTTTGATACTCACAACAGTCGCAACTTACTTGTAGAATGAATATCCCTTTTTTTCTTCGTTCTCAAACAAGTATACTTTGAAACTCTTTTATCAATCGCATGTGCCTATTTTACAGCTATTTTCCTCGGCGCAGCTCTGCGATCTTCTTTGATAATTGCACGAAGAGCACGCTTATCTCTTTCTGTAATCTTCGTACGACGGCCATTTCTAATTTTTATCTCAATATTTCCATTTTGTTTGAACAGTGAGATAATGTTTCTTCCTGTTTCTTGAGGAATGCTCAGATTTTTCGCAGTTTTATGCCCAGAAACTCCATTTTTGTGTGCAGCACAATTTAATTTCGTATATCGTCGGACAACGCTTTTCCGCGAGCTATTTTTGCAACTAAACGTTAAATTGACATCTCTAGGCAAATATTATACTACTCAATCGTTTTTCCAAGGTCCGCTTTACAACAAGATCCGATTTCGCCGCGTAAGCATTTTTTATCGTACTTCATGAGATCGTCCAACTAATATGCGACGGACATCATATACAATTTTTTTGTTTTTGTTCATTATTGTAATTTAAATATATATCAAATATTGTCGATTAGTTGTCAATACCACATAGCATCAAATTATCTTGGTTGTTTTTGTTCAAGTTATTTTGAATAAATAAAAATTAGTTCACAAATACAACATTCTGTAAATATATTTCGTTGGTCCAGCTCATATGCGACATGGCTCGTAAACATAAATTTGAAAGGTAATAAAATAGTACCTGTGGATCATTCGAAGAATCTTTTTTTTATAATGGATGATGACTTAAAATTTGTTGAACACATAAACCATCTAATTTCTCAGTGCTATGCTCAGAGTTTTGTTTGCAAATAAGGCTATATTACACAAATCTGCGAGAAAGCAGTTGTTTGAATTTTTTTTGTTTTCAAAAATATCATATTGCTTAGTGGTTTACTATCGCTATTTAGATATTAGAACAAGAAATTGTATTCAAAGTATTATGAATACATATTGCAGACTTGTAAATGATTTCAGAAAATATGATCATGGGTATATTGAAGGCCATTAATAACCTCAAATGGATTAAAATTGATAAAATGTATAAGTACCAGCTCCTAAGGCTGACTCAGGCTTCTTTATTCAAAAATATGGCAATAATATTAGATATAGAGAGACTTTTTCAATTCCACACCACAGCACACCTCTATTTAGAATATACATACTCGTATTTACAATGCGATCAAATTATACAATTATATAATTATTAAATTTAATCATACATCCAATGGTGCTAGGAATAGTGAAACATTGGGTAGTATAGCCCTTTCATATCTGAAAATAAAAAATCCAAATTTATTCATTCATTCATTCATTTTCTATGGATATATGTTTATGATGTTTAATCCGAACATACCAAATCTTTAATATTACATATCTTTAACACTATTGAACTTATTGCGATGAAATTATGCACAATAATAAAAAAAACCTACGAGTAACATAAAACCAGTTGGTTGGTTTAAAAAATAGCAGATTCGTTTTTTGTACTTTTTAGTTCCTATGCCAAAACGGGCGAGGAAGCATTGTAATTGCGAAAAGTTTCTAAATTGAAAGACTGTTTTTGGATGTTATATGACATGTACATCACGAAAAACTATGTTACTCATTTCCGTCGGCCTGTTTGTCTGTCTGTCGGTCTATCCGCTAATTTTATAATCGCCTATAACTAAGTTACTACTATGCCAAGGAAGAAAAAGGTTTGTAGATTTTGAAAACCGGTCTAGTGGTAGCGGAGAAAGACTAAATTAAAAGAAATAAAAACGCTCAAACTTTGTTTCTTGATGTTTCACGGTTGACATTTGAGGGTTGGGGAGGGTTTAATTTTTTTTTATCTTAGTATCCTTATACGCTCCCAACCCCGGTAATTATTTGCAACTATTAGACACACAAATATTTCACCCATCATAGATTTACCCGTACATTTAAAACTTTAAAACTTGATATGGTAGAGAAATGTTTTCGATCCGCGTACCCGTGCTTATCAAAGCGAACCGCCTAGCTATCCAGTCCGGCTTATGTATGTATTCGTACTGAAGCCCAAAAAACGTATTCACATAAACATAATAATTGTATGGACCTGTTTGACTGACTTCATATGTTTAATTTCTCTGTTATATACGTCCGAAACTCAATCATTCACAGAGGATTTAAATTGCGCTGAACTTTATTAACTGATCACGGCGTCGCATAGAAAGTGCCCACATTACGCTATTTTTATATTGACAATTATAATAATGTTTATTTCCAACAGGCAGGTACACCCAATTACAGGAAATGCATACCATTGAATATCAATGAAGCACAGTAAACAGTTACATAGATAAGAATAATAGTATATAAGTAAATAATCAACAATAATATCCTACCTTAGAAGTTCATCAAGATAAAGTTCGATGACGCGAGATTTAGTGTCATTAAATATGTCGCAGTTACTGATACTATTGAATATTGTACACATCCCATGAACGGGAGTCTTGGACAAAACATTGGTGTGGCAGAAATCACAGTAAAATGTAGCACAATAACGGTTACCTAAGCGAGGTACATTAAAACATATCTTACTTAAAATATATGGACAATAAATCTTATTGTGGAGTAAACTGAACAAAAAAGACAGAGCGGAAATATTTCGGCGTACTTCAAGCGGTTTGATATCAACAGCTTTGAGCAATACATTATGGCAGAAGCCTTTTTGTGGATAGAAACCATCGCATTTGAAAAACTATACATTACTGCTCTTCGTTGAATAGATTGCAATCTGCTAATAGAGTTGACAGCAAAAATAACACTTAGGTCTTTATAATCGTTACTCCTCTCTAACGTTACCTAATTAATAATGTAGTCATCATCAAGCATAACATGTTGTTGACTACAATATGTTACTGCTTTACATTTTGACACGTTTAGTGTAAGAAGGTTTTTTGGAACACAATGAATTGATGATTTCCAAATTATTTTGAGGAAAATGACAGCCTTCGGAAGTTATTATTTGTATTATAAAATTTTAAATCGTCATCTGACGGTAGTTGGTAATATCACCGCTTTTGAAAACAGGGTATACTTTAAACATCTTCCATATTTGCGGAAAGAACAAGTGCTGCGTACCATCAGACTGAAAATAACAGAAAGTGGCCTAACAAGAGCGTGAATTTTGACTATGAAGCTAGGAATATTGTCCACTCCGGAGGTTATTTAGTCCTTTAAATTTCTACCTGCAAGAATGACATCATTTTCAGTTATTGTGTTAAGATGTAGAATGTCATTAAAATAGTTATGGCCTGTACGTTTATAGTTCTTTCTGGCTCTGCCTTTTTTCCTCAAATGTCTTTGATATCCCTAGTAAACCATATAGGAAACTTATGCGATTTATAGCATAATTTAGGTATATTTTCATCGAAAACCTGATGAATTTTTTATATCAATATTCTACCACCCATAGACATATTAGTAACTCTGAATTTTTGATCACATCTAAATGTAGTATAATCTGATGGAAATAATTTTCTACTCATAGTCTTGTCAGAAAGCCAAGTTTCACTCAGAGAAATCAGATCGAACTAACAGTGACATACAGCATTTTAAAAAAGAGTTAACTTGGAGTTGAGACATCGCACGTTTTGATAGTAACTTGATATCGATAGACGTTTACAGCTAGTATCACTGGCATCACTACTGCAATCAGGTGCATGATTTAGTTTAAAGTAACTATAGTAGGACATCCACCAACATACTTGATCTTCAGGTTCTTTGCACCTGTACTTAATCGCTCATCAAGTTTAGCCTTGACCTATCGATAATGTTCAATTTGCTTTGGTGCTCTGTCATATGAAACAACAATCTTTTTGAATCTGCTGTTACTTCTTATATACTTGACCTTCTTTACAATGATGTGAACCATGTTTTCAGAGACAAATACGATCTGAGAGGCCTGATAGACTGATCTGTATACCTACCCAGGCGAATTACCTTCCAAAATATCATGAACATGAGTACTATCACTTTGAATCCTTGTTTCCGCATCCTGGCTTCTGCATTCAGGCAAATTAAAGACCATTAGATTCATTTTTCGTTCAGTTATTTAATAACTTCTTGGAGAACTTTTTCAAAAGTTTGATGGTGTAGACGATGCTGTCCTTAATTCATTAATTTTATACTCCAAACTGGATATCTTGATAGAGAACCCATGTTCTAATGCTGTTATTACAGTGTTGAGATAACTAATGTCTCCCATCAAATGGCTAGAATTGATACAAAGAAATTTAATCGCCTCGGATTTATTGCGTGTTATTCTTACTTCGACGGCATTGAGCCCGACACAAGTTAAATGCACTTCAGAGCGACATCCATCACATGGTATGGAGGGCCCTTGTTTATGAAACACAATTGTTTTAGTTGAACATTTTTATTATACTTATATCTTATTTTTATCAGTTTATGTGATACGAAAGACAAAATATCAAATGTTACCATATTCAATTAATCAAAATTTTACAAACTAGTGCTCAAGATCAAACTAAAACCGATTTGGCACCCCAAAATTTCAGCGTCATATTCTGTTATTTTAATTTCTTTGTAATGTACTAAGCGCATCACCATGTATCGTAAATTTATGATTATTTCCCGGCAAAAGGAACAAGTAATATGATTTAAAGGCAAAATTAATATAATGCACTTCACTTTATGAAAACAGAAGTTTTTCTCAAGTCAGCAGCGGTGCCGTAGTGGTAGTGGTTTCCTAATTAGTTGCCGTGCACTGCGCGGGTTCGAATCCTGCCCCAAGGGAATTTTTCTCTTGGCTATGCATATTGTGATTGTCCGTGAGTGGTAGACGGTCTCTGACTGTCGAACGCGGAGGTACCACCCGGTGGATCTCGTAGGCGGAACCAGAATGTGTGCATCCTGCATGCACACGTGTTCCCTTGCTAGTCCGTGTGGCGTCCCCCCTTCCCCTATAGCCCCACGCTACCACATGGGTGTTTAGGCCTTAGGCCTTCGTGGTAGTTGCAGTATAAAATGAAAAAACATGTATGTCATATCATAGCTATTACTTTTAGGGCCCGCGGCATATTATACGATTTAGTTTAGTTTATGCTTGCAACTTACTTCTTTTTAACCTCAAATTGCTTATTTGATCAATCAGCATCCTCAGTCGTATCTATACAGCTTCCCCTTGATTCTTATTTTTTTAGATGCGGCTGTGACTACCACGCGCCGACGGACTGCCAAGTGATAAAAAAATGGCTGACAAAATGCGCGGATGACAGCGAGACAGCCAACTATATCAGCGCCCATACCAAAGACTGCCCCAAGTGCCACATTTGCATCGAGAAAAATGGTGGCTGCAACCATATGCAGTGTTATAATTGTAAGCATGATTTCTGTTGGATGTGCCTGGGCGACTGGAAGTCACACGGATCCGAGTATTACGAGTGCTCCAGGTACAGGGAAAATCCCAACATTGCTCATGAATCTGTACATGCTCAGGTAGGTGAATTTTTATGAACATACACATGAACATGAACATGTACAATCTCTGGCCAAAGAGAAGGTATACCCGTGATACTATAACTCAAGAAGATATACTCTCTTCGCGATCGAATTTAATAATGATAATAATAATTAACCTCTTTATTCGCTAAACAACATCGACAAATAAACTTACAATTTCATTAAAAAAGAGTTTGGTGAAAAGCGAAGTTCAGCTGAGTATCGCTGATGTGACATACATCTGTTCTTCCACTTAACCCTGTTAAGGTGGCACGTCCCTTTTTTAGACTTCTTTTCAACTTCCTGTTTGCAGCAGTATTCTAACTCCTTTTCATCTGATAATTTCATGGTGTGTATAGAGATGACTAAAAAACAATGTTTTCATCTTTTTGGTCAAAAAATGCATTTTTTTGCATTTTATTGTGCATTCTTTCTTCAATCGGAACTTGTTAACAAATATAAGTACAGCTCGGAAATTGTGTGTGAATATTCCTCTTTTATGGAAGAATGAAGCGAGTGATTACTTTTGTTCTTATCACTTTTCCTTTTCGAAAAATCTTTCATTTTCTTGAAGCCTCGTCTCACAGCAGGTTGAGTTTTCAAGAAAAGCAAAGATTTTTCGAAAAGGAAAAGTGATAAGAACAACAGTAATCACTCGTTTCCTTCTCCCATAAAAGAGGAATATTCACACACAATTGCAGAGCCGTACTTATATATATTTGTTAACAAGTTCCGATTGAAGAAAAAATCCACAATAAAATGCACAAAAATGCATTTTTTGAACGAAAAAAAAAAATAAAACGTTGTTTATTAGTCACCTCTATAATACATCATGCCATCTTAAATCATATTGTAGTCAACCTAACGCATAATGCAAATACGAGAGGGCTTCGGTAAGTACTTAGTCTAACCGCCCGATGACGCCACTATCGCAAGAGAAATTTAGTATCATGTAATACATTCTCGTAAACGGCTACTGTGTCCGGGGATTTTAGAAAAATGGAAAAAGAGCTCGGTGATTCGATTCTTATATTTGGAAGGGAAATCGCGCAGCGAAACCAAAGAGCGCTGTGTACGGTGACTCTTCTTCGATGGCGACCGTCAAAAATTGGTTTAACGAGTTGGCACCTCAAAAGGGGCACAGTTCACTTTTTGATTTAAGAAGAAAAAAAATATAAACTTGATGAAAATAAAATGTTTATTACTATCAACATATTCGTAAATTCGGTGGGTTTTATTTCTTAAGTATCATTCCGTCCAAATGTTTGCCATCTCTTCGAACACATTCTTCTAATCGCGCGCGCAAATTCTGAAACACTCTCTTGCAGAGTTCCCGAGTGATGTTGTTTATTTCTCGTCGAATGTTGTCTTTAAGCTCCTCCAGTGATCGTGGATTATTGGAATACACTTTTGACTTTAGATAACCGCACTAAAAATAATCGCATGGCGTGAGGTCGGGTGACCTAGCAGGCCAGAGAATGTCTCCAGACTTCGATGTTACTTTTTGAGGAAAAAGTGCTTTCACCGTGTCCATCGATTCTTTGGAAGTATGGGCAGTGGCCTCCTTTGGACTATGTAGCTGTTGTTGATGTTTCTCTTTTGGGTTCGTTGGTGCCCAATATCTGCAATTTTGCTTGTTCATATAATCGTTTAAGTGAAAATGGGCCTCGTCACTGCAAACGTTCTCGAGTCTGCGCTGCCATTCAACACAAGATTTTCGTAATACGTAATCACTTTCCTTTAAATCATGGACTGATTGGATTTTATAAGAATGAAAACCCATTTTTTCTTCATTATGCCATGCAGTGTTGACCTAGGAATTCCCAAAGCACCGGGATGCTTTCCACCACTCTTAAAGTAAGCATCGATAGCAAAAGCACGTTGCGCTAAGGTTCAACGTTCCATTGTGACTATTTAACCCGCACGGCGAACGCGTCGATGAATACCTCTCCCGCGTATACGGTTGCCGCGTAATTCAAATTTTACATGTGAACTTTCCCACCCTGTAGATCAGATAGCCCGTTTATTCAGCTTCAATATTCTGTTTTCAAAATCTCGATACGGTTGTTTGACGCGGAGATATCTGAATTTGAATGAAAAACTATCCTTTTGTCATCGACCACATTTTTTTTTCTTTAGTGTTGATGATTATTATTATTTGTCATCGACCACATTTTTTTTTATTTAGTGATGATTATTCTATTCAAGAAAAGTTATTTTGCCTTGTTTAGGAAAATAGACCGCATTTTTGAGACTCCTAACGAGAAAGTTCATGTGTTTAGGTTTTTTGTACCTTAATGTATTCATAATAACCCTGCACGACGGCAGATCCATCCATTGTAAGGAGAAGAACATTTTTGTATCAAAATCCTGTAATCTGGTTGAAAATGGAAAAATATGTTTTCTTCTTTTGTTATCACTTCAATACCTTCAATTTTTAAAAAGCAATTTATAAAATTGTATTCTTTTATTCATGGAATATTTAAAAAAAAAAACAAAAATACTAACCAGTGGCGGATGGATCTAGAATATATTTTTTTGGGGGGCCTTAAACGCGGATTTAAGGATTTGTCCATCCTGCAGCCTTCTCTTCTTCATTAGAAGTCCCAAAAATGCGGTAGATTTTCCGAAACAAGGCAGAAAGTAATTTTACTTTTTTAAAATCAACAATAAGGAAACAAAAACAAAATCCTCAAAGATTGCAATCAAATCTTATAGGAGATTTGTTTTAGTTTTCGGAAGTACCCTTATATTCTCTGTGCAACCACTGGTTACCGAGATATCAGTGGTTGATGACAAAAGGAAATTTTAAAAACAGATTATTGAAGCTGATGGCCTAAAAGAAAAAATGTTTTTCAAGCCCGTGGAATAAAAAGAAGGCAAAAGTTTCGCAAACAATTTTTCTTGCGCTATCTGTTAGAATTGCATGAGAACCGTTGCTCCTAAAATGTTTTTGCTAAGAACCCTGAAAACTAGAATATTAAATCCTCAGAATACTTTTTTAAAGTCCAGATACGACCAAAATACAGCATGTCAAAGATCTCCGATAAATTTTGATGTTTTTCTTGCTCTCTTAATTTTTTTGTGTAGGCTATCTCAAAAAATATCAACTGTAGATGAAAGTTATGGAGTGTTCAGAATGTTCTAAAACATCTAAATACACTTTGAACGAAACGATTTTTGATGAAATTTTGAATCAGGCAATATGCAGATTTGTTAAAAAATCCGAATCAGAATATTTTTCCGAGCAGATTCCAAGATACTACTAAAAATCACTGTATAATGCCGAAGTTACAAAAGTTAATGACACTATTTCATCAAAAATTGAAAATACGTTGGGTGTTCCACAGGGCAGTATCCTGGGACCACTTCTTTTTATTTTATACATAAATGATTTACCTGCCATAGTCAAAAAATGCAAAATTCAAATTTTCGCCGATGACACTATGATTTATATAAGTACTAAAAATATTCAGTCTGGTATCTCTTATATAAATGAAGACTTGAAGCTTGTCTCAAAATGGTTAGCATCTAACAGACTAAAATTAAATGCAAGTAAAACGAAAGCCTTGTTAATCGGAAAAAAACAATGTACAAATGTTCAACTGAATATTGATGGTGAAGATATTGAATTCGTAGAAAATTTTAAATACCTGGGGGTTTTTGTTGACTCTCGATTAATTTTTGATATTCATTATGAAAAAGTTATAAATAAGATTAGTAGTAAAGTGGGATATTTATCGAGAGTTTCTGGATGTCTGAGTTCATATAGCAGAAAAATTATCTATAATACCATCATTCTTCCAAATTTCTTGTACTGTTCGACTATTCTATATTTAGCAAATAATTCCATTTTTGAAAGACTGCAAATTTTACAAAATAAGTGCATGAGAATAATACTAAATAAAGATAAATATATTCCAATTAGGCAAATGCTTAGCAAATTAAAATGGCTCAATGTAAAAAATTTTATCAAATATCTTGTAATGATATTCATTTATAAAGTAAAAAATAATATATTTCCATCAAGTCTAACTAATTTAACATCATCAAATGTCGACCATCATTTACATAATACCAGAAATAAAGATGACTTCCATTTAATGACCAAAGGGTTGATTGAATATAATAAATTATACTCGGAGATAAAAGACCAGAAAACTTTGACAAAATTTAAAGTAAAATTGAGAAATCACTTGTTAAACCTGCAATTATAGGTTGCCCAGCATTTACATCATACACCATATGGCTTGAATTTACTAGTTCTAAGTTGTTTACAATTGTTCTGTTTATGTAGCCAAATGTGCTAAATAAATCTTTCTACTACTACTACTTCTACATAAAAATGAAACGTATTATAATTGTTATGTTTCAGGCTCGAGAGGCGTTGAAAAAGTATTTGCACTATTACGAACGATGGGAGAACCATTCCAAATCGTTAAAACTAGAGGAGCAAACTTTGGGGAAGCTGCGATCTCGAATAAATCAGAAAGTAATGTCTGGGCTCGGCACTTGGATCGACTGGCAATACCTTTTTACAGCTGCCAACTTACTAGCGAAATGTCGCTATACCTTACAATATACATATCCTTACGCGTATTATATGGACGCAGGGCCCCGCAAGGAGCTATTCGAATACCAGCAAGCCCAGTTAGAAGCTGAAATCGAGAACCTTTCGTGGAAGATAGAGCGGGCTGAGACGACAGATAGGGGTGACCTTGAGAACCAAATGGACATTGCAGAGAAGCGTCGTACGACTTTATTGAAAGATTTCCTAGACGTATGATACATCCGTTAATCGTGATATAGAAAGCAATCTTCACAGCTCTGCCAATCTTATCATTGGCGAGACGGATATTCGCGTAATCGTGATCAGCTTTAGAGTATTCAAATGAAAGATCGTTTCCATTCAGTCAAGGCGAAAACCTCTCATTCGTGGTAGTTTTTCCGACTCGTTTGTGCTTGTATACGATCTTTCGGATGAGCGCATCCGCAACAGCGAGTATGTGTAGTGAACAAAAACTTGAGAGATAAGAAAAAATGGGCGCCAGTGGGATTCGAACTCGCATCTCCTCTATGCCGTAGAGCCGACCCAACTAATTATACCGCATTCGTAGTCCATTTACGCCCAGTCAAAACACAACGTGTCCAAAAGCGAGATTGTACAGGTCTGTATTTTAACTCTACTTGACACCATTTTTACAACACAAATGGTTAGTCCATCTAAGAAGGCTTGTCTTGCTGATTTAATAGTAGAGTCAGCCCATACTTTATGTTTTGTATGTCCTGCATTCATCCACGTTTCATCCAAGTAATAAATCTTCCTGCCCTGGTCGCGGTATTTATTGATTTTAAATAATTTCTTCTCCATAAAATAAACTCTTAGAACATTAGAAAAACTTTCTCAAAAATTTACAAAAAGAAATGAAACAAACGTAATAAACAACAACAGATAACGTGCAGCTCTTAAAATTACAATAAAACAAAACGATAGTGCAACAAAAACAAAATAAAAGTATACAAAACAATACTAACACAAAAATAATTCAAATATCTTATCATCTTCACATATAGGACACATATATTGATTTTCGCTTTGTTGCAAATGCCGCAAATCCATCTGAAGCAAATGACACAGCAAATCCAATCTGGGCCTCTGTATTTAGAATAGAGGCATTTACATATTGCACACAGATCATCGCTACTCTTCTCTGCCTTAGCAGTAGGTTGAGGTTTGGAGGGACCTAGGTGGGAATTAACATAAACCTAAACGGTATTTTTGACAACGGATAATGGGAGGTTGTCTTCGTCTGAAGAAATTGAATCTGCAGGAAGATTCTCAACAGGTGGCAAGCACATTTTCCGGGCCTTGTCTTTAGCTTTTTTCCTCTTTTCCGTGAGGCGGATTCATCTGTTTGAGCTCCTCGAGATCCCTTGAGAAAATCTAATAGACTCTCATCGAGCATCCTTGATGTGGAAGATGAAAATAGGAAGTTTGGATAAACTGGTGTCAGGGCTAAGTGGACAAATTCCGGTTGTTCGAAAACCTGATATCCAATTTGCCTTAGCTAGACACAGAGCCCCACAGTTCAGAGCTGGGAACTGCTCTTTCGGAATTGTCCCCTTTCGTCTGGATTCCTTTCTCCAATTCTCCAGGAATGCCTTTCTTTTCATTGGGGCAAAGAAACTGACATCCAGCGGTTGTAAGAGTTAGGTTGAATTTGGTGGGAGCAGAGTCATGTAGATATTATTTTCCTTGGCAGTCTGTATAACAAGTGGGGAGAAATGCGAAGCAAGGTTATCACCAATTACAATTGTTCGTTCATCCTTTTGACTATGTTCCTTGATATGTGGAAGCAAAATATAAAAAACCACTGTTTGAATAGGTTCATGTCGAACCAACCACTTTTGCTATGGCTATACACCGTTCCAGCTGGCCTACCTTGCGTCCAATTGTTATACAGATTCTGGGATTTGTACACTACCATTGCTGGTAGAAGTTCGTCATCTGCCGTTCCGCATATCATAATACTTACAGAAGTCCTCGAATGTTCCTTGATTCTCTCCATTCTTTTCATGCCTCTCGGAACGAGAACCCTTTTAGAGCTCGGGTCGTCGGTGATATTTGTTTCGTCATAACTGTAGATATTTCGACGAGGAGCATTCACTAAATGAGGTTCGATATTTGTAAAAAACATACGAATTGCACTTTGGCCCACAGATGCCCGATTTAGTTTTATATTTGTGGCTAGCCTTACGCGTAAATTGTTTCTAACTGCGAAGCTTCTCACATAGTCATATCCTGGTCTGTGATCTTTCCATATTTGTACGTTACGCCCCTGTTCGTTGACAAAACCAGAAATAACGGATGCAATATCACTACTGGTCAGATATCCCCACTCACTAACAGTGTTTCACTAATTAAACTTTCGTCTTATTTTGTCAATATCATCGGATGACCAACTTTGCTTGTATCTTTTCCGCTATTTCTCTCCAAAAGGGTTGTTCTTGGAACCTTGTATTTTATACTAGCTGCTTTCCTACTCGTACCACTCCGTACTGCTGCAATTGCATCCTGCATATTTGTTTCATTGAATTGACGATATCGCCTACCACCCACCTTTTTAACGTAATTTCTGACCATTTTTAGCCTAAATATTATCAACCTCTCGACAGTCGTAACCTGTTCTAATCCGCCTTTTGGGTGGGGGAGACAATTTGTCGTTTTTTATATATTATTTGAGAATGTTGAAAATTGTCTTAGGACATAAGCCTGTTTTGTTGCCACACGTCTTTCAATATCATGAATTTTCATTTCAGGATGCTCTAAAATTTCGCTCTTATAAGGGTTATAAAGGAATATTCAAATGTCCCTTCTTGTCACGTTGTCGGGGGCGAGACATCACTGAAGAGGAAGCATGGCTGAAGGAAGCGTTGGGAGAAATATTATCAGTTTCATCTGCTGTATCCGTAGACGACATGCAGGCGTATAAACACACGCTATGTACGCACCGAATATGAACAGCAGCTGCCGGCGTCGGCGTGCCGCCGATACCCCGAGCCTGAGTTCTATCCTATCGAATCCTGCACTTGTTCGTAGTTTTGTCCGAATGACCAATAACTTTTGCAATGCTTAGGCGGCTGCCGCTTTGCCGCGCTACATCTTTGTTGTGCCGGGGCGTAAATGGACTACGAATAGGGTATAGCCTACCAACTTTCAGAATCGACTGTTAGACGCAAATTCAATCCTATTCACGTCACTGTTCCTTTGTTCTGCCAAGCTGCTTGATGCCCCATGTGGCGGCGTTTAAGTGCCTGCTTGCGAGGGAGTATTGTAATCGCGAAAAAGAGATCTTATGTTAATATGTACATCACGAAAAATCATGTCACTCATTCCTGTCGGTCTCTCTGTCTGTCAGTTGATAGTATAACTTGGGAAGTACTGCTCGGATGAAATTACACAAGGTTACTGCCAAGGACGAAAAAGTTTTGTACGTTTTAATAATCGATCCTGTGGCGGCGGAGCTACGGGACAAAAAACGAACATTTTTAAAAAAAAATCGTTGGTTTTAAAAAGTGGGGGTTGGGAGTTGCAGAGGGTTGAAAAATTGAATTTGAAACGGTAATTATACCTACGCACCTATTAGACATATTTCACATGCCATACATAAAAAATTAAAACTTGAGGTAATTAAATTGATGCGTGGATACCATATTTTATAGTAAAATTGGCAGATGAAAATGTCAAGATGGCCGCTGGGCGCCATCTTGGAAAGAAAAATTATATGAAAACGGGGTTCTTGTGGCACATCATTTTGAAGCTCCTGACGAGTACTTTATAACCCTAGAATATAAAGTCAATACCTTTACCTACAAAATGGTGGTACAGTAGAACCCAGATTATACGTGCTCCACGGGACCGAAGGTGGCACGGATAATTGAAAAGCACGGATAATCCGAACATTTATTTCATATATACCTACCATAAAAAGATAACAGAAACAATAAATCCCATAAGTTCAAACTAACTTTTATATTGTATAAACACAAAAAAACAGATTTCTACATAAATATTATTTCACACTAAATACATACATAATAAAAATAAAAAAATCAATAGGTAGGTTACCTTGCATTTACCTAAAGCGAATTGTATTTATTTTAAGTACATAATTATGTTTTCGAATAAAAGTCAGTCACTTTGGTCTGTGTCAAAAGTCTTCGATTATTTTTAATCATCTGACGTATTTTGCGCAAGTTCAAAATGTCTACAAGGTCCGAAGATTCTTGTTGCTCCAAATAGTCTAGTAGAACGTTGGCAGCTTTCTCAGCCTCCTGGTTAGTTACTCTTTTGATTGATACCGTTCCATCATTCTCTTTTTCTTGACTCTCATTTTCGGATGAATCAGATTGTGACGTACCGGGCTGATTCAAAACTTGTTCGACAATACCATCGTTGCTGAGGATCTGATAACCTGGCTCATGTTTGTCACACGGTGTCCACCTCTCAACCTCGGTGTCATCAATGTCTTTAAATTTATCGGCGTTGCGCACTAATGCAGCTAGTTCAGCTATAGTAGTTTCTTCGTCTTCGGACTCCATGATGCTTTCATCTTCCTCTAGCGTCATTATTTTATAAAAAGCTCTTTTGAAAGTCATGTCTTTCACTCCACTCCATGCGTTTGCCACTGTAAAAATTGCGTCTTTGATCGTGAACGATTTCCAAAACTTCATCAGATCAACTTCATTAAACAAGTTCATCATAAGTTCTCTTCGGTAGAGCCATTTCATTGTCTCAATAACACCCTGATCCATTGGTTGAGCGATTGATGTAACATTGGGTGGAAAAAAAAGAACAAAGAAGTTTCCATCATCAGACCTTAGAGCTGCCTCATTGGGATGAAAACGAGCATTATCGAGAAGAAGAAGCGCCTTTTGTGGCAATTTTTCTTTCTTCAGATTAGACTTTACTTCAGGAATAAACTTTTTATGGAACCAATCTTGAAAGATGTCACAGGTTATCCAGGCAGCTTGCTGGTTATAATAATGAACTGGGAGATTATCCGGTTTCATGTTTTTAAAAGCGCGAGGATTTTTCGACTTTCCAATCACAGTCAGCTTTAGTTTATGGTTGCCAGCAATTGGCACAACACAACACTGTTAACCGATCTTTACTTTTCTTATATCCCGGTGCACTCATCTCATTACTTGCAGCCAAGTTTTTTGTAGGTATTGCTCGCCAGTATAACCCTGTTTCGTCAGCGTTATAAATTTGAGAAGGTTGTAGATTATTTTCTTTAATTAGGGTCTCCAGTTCAAAATTCCATCATCGCTTCTCCGTCGGCACTGAGCTTTTCGCCTTGAATGGTAAGCTCCCGAATCCCGTGATGTTTTTTAAATCGATGCAGCCAACCACTGGCTGAAAGGTTCTTGGATTTTCAAACGTTCGTGAAAAATCTCCGCTTGCTTAGCGTACATTGGACCAGAGATTGGTACGCCCTCCGATCTTTTCTGCAGAAACCACTTGGAAAGTGCTTCATCGAGTTGCTGAAAAGTCGATCCTTTCAATGATTTCCGTGAAGATATGTTCTTAAGTTTCTGTTCAATCGTTAAAACATTTCTCTTACGTTTAACACTCGTTGCCATTTTGAAAACAAAGTCACGTGTTAAGAATATATTACAGCAGAGTAGCAACTTGTCTCTTGTCTCTAGCGCGTAACTAAACTAAATTTCACACATTCGGTGTAACACGCATCGGCAAATGAAAATCGAATGGGAAGATGTTTACGTAGGTAACGAGACAGTGCTTTGTCAAAGGCATACGTAGGATTATTAACCGCCGATACTACTATACGTAATGGATTGTCTTGACTAATCCATATGCTTTCGCAATGCACGTGTTGTCTATTCGGGTACATATGTATATATTTAAAGCAGTCATCAACCTCGAAGGCACCTTTTTCATTCCAACTTTCGATCAGTCCTTTCATACCTTTTTTCAATGCAGGTAAAGGACTTTTATTGAGCAATTTATAATATTTATTATCACCTAGTGCGATTTCCATTTTCTGGATGTACGCGTCTTTGTTAATAATCACCTCAAAAATGCAATTTGAATAATGGGAAATCATGGCGCGGATAATCCGCAGTCCGGATAATCGCGCACGGATAATCGAGGTTCTACTGTACATTTAATAATCACATGAATACATTGACATTTAACTAAATAAATACGTTGAATTCAGTTTAGAAGATGCTGTAAATGGTTGCCTTGAACTTCTTGATACAGTAACAGCCGGATCGTAATTTCGCGTCGAACATTTTCAAACATAGTAATATCGATATTTCTATAAATATTTGTTAGTCTCAGCCGTATATCCAATATTGCAGCAGGTTCAGTTTTGTCCACCTTTTGCATCAAATAGCCCCATAAAAACAAGTCTAAAGGTGTCAAATCTGGCGAGCGAGCTGACCATTACACAGGACCTCGACGGCTAATCCAACGACCTGGGAAATTGTTATCTAAATAATTACTAACTTGTCTGGAGTAGTGTGGTGTAGCACCATCTTGCTGGAATACAATATCAGTATCGAATTCATTAGGATTTGCTTCGACGATTTGGGTGATTAGAGGGTCAATAGTATTTTCGAGCATATTAAAGTTTGTTCGATGAATAGAGGCCCCACAATATGATTTCTCAATATCCCAACCCAAACGTTATTTTTTTGTAAATATTGAGTGAGGACTGCTTTCACTCCAATAACGACAATTTTGTCTATGTACATTACCGTTGAGAAAAAACATTCATCACTAAAACCAATATTTTGGATATAGGTAGGATGCCGTGCAATGGTTTCCGTCATAGTCTCGCAGAATTCAGTTCTTCGATCAGGGTTCTTCAGTTAGTTGATGTACCATTTGAATTTTGTATGTGTTATACTTATTCTTTTTCAAAAGTCTCCATACAGTAGAAGGACAAACCTCACATACATTCGCGATGGAGGAAGTAGACTGTTGGGGATTCACTATGATTCGGGATGGTCGGATGACCTGGGGGCTTTTTGTTGTTTACACTACCAGTAGCTGTAAATTTAGATACAAGTTCCCTTAAATATTTTCTACAGATAGAACGATTCGGGAAACGATCATTAAAAATCCGTTCGGTCTCGTGAAGGTTACGCGTTGCACCATAAATAAAAATCGCTTCGATTTTTTCTTCCAATGGACGACAATTGACCATTTTAAAAATAGTTCAAACAGTATCTAGCACTAAAACCGAAAACTAAATAAGAATATTTTAACTGCAGAATGATGTTTGTTTTCGTACTGATATTCTTGTCACTGTCAACAAAAAATAACAAAACAAGTTTTTATCGCTGTTGCTGTGGATACGGCAGGAAGTTACAATTATTTGTAGAGATATGTATGTATGTTAGTGGGTTTGTGTTCATGTAGTTATTAAATGTACCACCATTTTGTAATTGGTAAACGTATTGACTTTATATTCTAGGGTTATAAAGTACTCGTCAGGAGCTTCAAAATGATGTGTCCAGCGGCCATCTTGACATTTTCATCTGTCAATTTCACTCTAAAATATGAGTTTCATTACCTCAAGTTTTAATTCTTTGATTGATCCGTTCAAAAATTAAAGGGGAGGGGGACATTAAAGAAAAGCACTGTATACCCTTAAAGCTTGCACTTGCCGTACGCTACGAACTTACTTGGGTGCCCAGAAATTTCTGTCTGCACCTTTCGTGTAATTTCTGAGCGCCAAACTGCTCGAGCTGGCCAGCATAGCATGGCTGGCGTTGAGAGATGATCGATACTTTCACTAAGGGCAGCAATAAACCTCTAGACTGCAGCGTTATCAAGTTCAGCTTATTTGTTCATTATACTAAAGGGTGATCCATATGTTGGTTAATTATTAAGTCGATGATTAAAATGAAAACGCAGAGTTCTTTTTCCAAACGGGTTTTTTATTTGAGAGTACTTTTCTTCCGGTTAATGATGAAACAATCTCATTCATATGCGCGCCACGGCTGAGCCTGACGTAGCCGATTCTGTCGACTCAATTTTTCAGTATATTTTCCAAAGTCTGCGGCATTATTTCACCAATGGCTGCATGAATGCTGGTCTTCAAGTGCTCATTCGTCGCTGGGGCATCCCCATAGAATTTATCTTTTACGCTTCAAAAAATAATCCAACGGAGTTAAATCGCAGCTTCCCGGTGGCCAAAGTCACATCACCAAAACGGCTGATTACGCGATATTCGAAATGTTCTTGAAGAAGAGCGATTGTTTCACGGATTGTGTGGCAGGTCGCGCCGTCTTGCTGGAACCACACGTCATATGAGTCTTTTTATCGGTTTCCGGAAAGAAATAGTTAGTCAGCATGCTCCGATAGCATCCACCAATGAACGTAACGGCGCGTCCTTTGTCATCGTCGAAAAAAAAGGGCCAATAATGCCACCAGACCACAAACCACACCAAACAGTCACGCGTTGCGGATGCATGGCTTCTAGGTAATTCCATTTGGCTATTCTAAGCACCAAATATGGCAATTTTTCCAAGCGTCCAATTTTGAGTGCTTCCCAACGTTGTTCAAGCGATTATCAATCCAAATTCGTTTACCGCAGACTTTACTAAATTCCTATCAAAACAGAACTGATGTAAGTGTTGCCAACCGTGAGATAAACCCTAGTTCAAAAATTGACCAACAGATGAATCACCCTTTACATACATTTAAGTGGACTATCTTGAGTGGGGAGCGTTTCTGTGCCTACAACCGCTTGGCTCCTTCTATGACAGTTTGCAACAGTTTGATCTCCATCTCATATTCTTTTTTAGCATTTGACGCTTCGTCAACAATATCAGTTGTCTTTCTATAGAATTTCTTGATGGATTCATCTTTATACTTTTCTTCGTTTGATAGCTTTCTGATTCATATTCAAATACAAGGTCCGTCAGAAAGAAAGCATGTTTTTTAAATGAGTAGTACCGTCAAAATAAGTATGGGAAATATATTTTATTATATCAAAATACTCAGAAATACATTCCATTTTTTGAGTAAAACAAAATTTACGTTCTAAACACTATGTCGGCCATATGGAGCCCTTGACGTACTGCACCATCATTCTAAAAGCATCATCAGGCATCAATTTGATGGTCTGAAAATCTTTCTGAAAATAAAGCCATTGTTTACATTTTCATTGTTAGTTTGGCAGTGTGATACAAATTGTCAACGTCAAAGTAAAACATCAAAAAACACGGGCAATTCAATGCACCTATTAGCCATATTCCACACATCACAGACTTCCTCGTACATTTGATAACTGGGAATGCAAGTTCTTGAGTAACTTTTTTGCTAAACTCCACTGTTTCTGAGTTGTAAACGATTGAAAGTGTGAAAGACCTTAACAATTACCGTTTTCGTTGATTAAAAACTACGTTTTTCGAGGATCTGACGAATGGTGTCTCCTTGGACTTTGAACAAAGAGTAACGCTTTCCCCGGGAACATTCACGGTAGGATTTAACATTTGCATTCCACAGACGGCTGTAACAGTTGCTGTCACAAGTTTTCGAAATTTGGAGAATCTTGAATATTTTCAACCATTGTACGATTTCCGGCATTTTCAAAGCTACCGAAATTTTCAAAATAATGTTAATTTTGAAGGTTTTCAACATTTCGGCCGTTTTAAAAATGTTCAATAGTGAAACTATTGAAAGTTTAAAATATCTTGAAAATATTGAATATGGTGGATTTTTTTAGAGATTCATATATTTCGAAATTTTTGTTTTTTTTAAATCCCTGAAAATGTGGAAAATTGTGCAAATTTCGAAAATTTTGAAAATTCTCCAAATTTTCAAAACATGCGATGACTCCATTTTGGGCTTAGTTTATGTTGAATAAAGCCATGTTATTCAACTGTTGAAAACGCGCTGGGCCATAGCGCATTATTAACAATCAGTTGGTGTGCTCAAATAAACTAAGCTCAAAAAAATCATCTGAGTCTTGAAATGGAAGGCTTAAGCTTTTTACAGAAACCTGGCAACTTCAAAAATGATAACTTTCAACGGAGTTTTTAAGCATTGAAAATGGTTTTTTAGATTAAATCGCTTATGTCTCAAAAACGGCCAACCTTAGATGAAAACTGAGGTCACTTGAAAAGGAACGAAAAAAAGTATTTTTGTATTCATCTTAATTGTGTACACAAAGTTGTACCGCGTTATGCCGGGGGATTCATGTTAACCCCTTATTGCGTGATTTTGTTATTTTCGATGGGAAATATATAGGTACAGGTTGCGCCATCTTTTAGTATGTCGGTATGTAAACATGAAATAACTTTGAAAACGAAAAACTGATTTCTATATATTGGGTATTTTTATTAAATATGGTCCTTTACAATTTATTGGGACTAGTTTTTGAACACAACATCTATCAAGTGGCCACCTTTATTGGCCAAAACAAACTGTGCCCGTTTTGCTGCTTTTTCCATTACTTTTTCGAGCATCTCTGGAGGTATATTGGCGATTGCGGTACGAATGTTTGCCTTGAGTTCTTCAGTGGTCTGGGGCTTGCTGGCGCACAATTGACTTTTCAAATAACCCCACAAGAAGTCCGGTGGGATCAAATCTGGAGACCTGGGTGGCCAGTCAATCAGACGTTTTTCGTTGCAGAAACTGGATTGTTTAATTTGCAGTGTGGCATGGCGCACCGTCTTGTTGAAACCAGTAACCATTCCTTTTTCACGCATTTTTGGGCAGACATAATGAACCAACATCCACCGATATCGATTTCCATCGACTGTTTCGTTTTCGTTGAATAAAAATGACCCAATGATGGTTTTGGCGCAAACGCCGGCCCAAACAGTCACTTTCCGGTCCTGCAACGGCATTTCGTGGATCTCATGTGGATTTTCCGTCCACCAAATGCGGCAGTTTTGCTTATTAACGCCGCCAGAGAGCGTGAAATAGGCCTCGTGGGTCATCACAATTTGCTTCCAAAAATCAGGTTCAGCATCAACCATGCCAGCGACAGCTTAGGCGTATTCCAAGCGACGTGGACGGTCAGTTGGCAATATTTTTTGTGTTAACCTCACCTCATAAGGAAACAAATGCAAATCATTCTTCAAAATGCGCCGCAACGTGGTTCCACTGATGCCAAAATGCAGAGCGCGGTGACGATACGACACTTTTGGGTTCTGGACAATGCTGTCTCTGACCGCTTCAACCTATTCATTGGAACGTCTTGGTCGTTGATGAACGGTATGTTGACGATCTCCCACTATCCCGTACTCAAGAAAATTCGAAACCGAACGACGGATAGTGTTGTCAGACGGTGCCTGTTTGCCACGATATTTTCGACGATATGCACGTTGCGTTAACACAACTGAACGACGATTTTCAATGTACTATTTCGGCGCGTTGTTTCGGTGTAAAGCGATTCATGACTGAAATTGTAGTAAATTGACGTTTCAGAAACACGCATAACCAAATCACTCGGTTGGTAAATATCAAAGTCATTCGATGTTTCAATACCGACATAAAAGATGGCGCACCCGTTATGAGGTAGATCAATCTGCACAAGTTAGATAAAAAATAATTAAAAAAATATATATTAGATTTTTATTGAAAAATTTACAAAAAAAGGATATGCATCATACATGAAACCCAATGCACTAACAACCAGTGTTATTCGGTGTGGAATCGTTGGTAACAAGTTCAGTCTTTATTTAGGCAGAGTGGTACTTGGCATTTTACACAATAAATATATTTATTTGCAGTTTGAATGTTTGCATCGATTCCTTTCATTTTCTCTCCATTCTGGCAAATGATCTATTCCTAGTTATTGCTGATTTAATTTCTTTAGTTAAGAAGAACTTGAAGGACTCTTATAGCGGTTTTGAATTAGTAACTTCTAGAAGCATATACAGATTGCCGGTAAATTCTAGATCTTTTGGATCTTTCACGAGATTTCCGGTTCTCCAGGATCCTGGAATCATTTTCTCTGCAATTTCATCTAGAGTCATATTTTCACTATCGTCAGACTCTACATCTGTTTCAGAAATGACCGTCTTATCATGATCTTCAGGCTCACTGTTATCGTCGCTGTCAAATGCTAATATATTATTAGGAATTATTGGTTTATTTGTGTCTTCGTCGTCTGACAATCGGGGTCACCACTTTCATTATTTTCCGGTACATCCGTAACATATTTACTGCTTCATTACTACTCATAATCGCATGAAAGAGTAACGAATAAACTGTGAACAGGTATTATTTTCTATCACCAAAACATACGTTTTATTTATCAAAAATGCCACATAAAATCGAATATATTGACTGCTCCATGAAACGCACGAGTGTCAACTTGCAAACTGCCAGAAGGGCGTATGTTTATCCCTCGGTCTAAAATATGAGGCACCATGCTGTTTTTCGCTCTTTAAATTCTAGAGCTTTAAAAAATATCAATATTGGTACGTACCGCATGTGACTAAGGATGCAATATGGGGTTAAGAGGCATGCAAAAAAGTGATAAGGGAAAATCGAGTCGGAAAATTTCTCCTACAAATTCCAGGTTTTTGCCTTGTCTAATTGGTTTTAGGTTAGGAAGAGAAATACGCTATTGAGGCGTAATTATGACGTCAGATTATCATAACTTTTCAGGTTGAATTTAAGAGCTTTTTGAAAATAATTCAGCCAAAAGTAGTCTTTAAATAATCGCTTATCATTTTAGTCTTTCTTACAAATAATTTTTCCTATGTCCTATGAAACTAGTCAAAGAACTCTACAGACTCTCTCATATTCTATATTAATTTGATTTTATTAATTGCGATGATATTGTATTATGAGAAACATTTTCGACCAGCGTTGTATATACTTTTTTTTGTCTGGTTATAATATCGGGATTGTAGAGCGATCCAGGCTTTTTTATATATATATATATTGTTTTTTGTTGTGACACGAAGTTAGAAACGTCTTTACCAGTTTCCAAGATTTTTAGCTTTTCAATATTTGACTTTATTCGTGTGATTTATGATGTTTTTAAACATATGTATATATAAGATAATAATGATAGCAATTATTAAAAAACGAAAATGTAGATGTCAACGAGTGTGATAGTAACAGTAACACCAGTTGGTATTATACAGGGTGTTTCTATTCCTCAAAGGGATACGAGCATGTAAAAGAGTGGATGTATACTAAATGACATAGAAAATGCAACACCGACCAGAAGTGCTGTAATTTTGATCATACTTTCACAGTTTTAGGTCTACTGATAAATAGAAAGTGATTAAAATTTTAACTCGAAATTTCGAAAAATAGCTGAGATATCCCACCTTAATGTTAATAATGTGTTGAAGCTCCTCTGTTCGCTACATATTCGTTAAGTCGTCGCGACATTGATTGGATTAGATTGGTGTATTGTATCCCAGGACATTAGAATTTGGTTTCGTAGAGCCTCCAATGTTTGTGGAGGGTGCGGTGAATTTTGCAACCTTCTTCCCATCATGTCCCATACATGTTCGATGGGGGAAAGGTCTGGAGATCGAGGAGGCCTCTGAAGCAAATTTTCTTTGGACGCTTCTAAAAAGTATAAACCAACACGTGCGACATGAGGTCGTGTATTGCCCTGCTGAAAATAGATTTTGCAATGTTTCCAAAAAGGGAAGCAGTTGTGGTTGTAAAACTTTATGGACGTAGCAGTCATGCTACCTCGAATGAACGCTAATCATGACCTGCTGCAGTAAGCAATGGCACTCCATACCATAACACCCACAGTACGATATGCCGTTCGATGGAATATTGGACGTTCACCGCGTCTGCCTTATCAAGAAAGACCTCCGTATCTCCACTTGAACAAGTTTTGAGAAAACCGCGGTTAAAGATGTTTGCTGTTTATGTCTTACTTTTACTTGACTAATAAAATGAAATCATTCATCATATCGACCCATGCAACGAAGACTATTGTAAGTCAGTTTTGATTGAACCGAGATGCAGGCCTCAGAAGATTTTCTAATGAATCTCGTAGCAAGAAAAATGATGATCCTGTCTAAAATATCTCGGACATCCTAGTAGCCATCATACATAAAGGCTTATAATTCGTATAACAATACAAACTCGCATAAAAAGACGTTTTTTTGATAAACTTTGTTGACTTACTATAATGTTTCGATGGATCAATTAAGGAAAAAAATACACTTACTATAAACTCATTAGGATATTTATTGAAATATTACGGTATTTCTCAAACGATCTATCGAATAAAATATGTTCAAGGCTAATTCGAATCACTCAAAGATTCGTCTTCGTGTTCTTCACTATCATCATTCTCATCTTCTGTATATTCAGCATTATTAATATTCTGTACTTTTGTATTTTCTTATCTTCCTTGCCTTTAAGAGAGAAATAAAAAGCGTGGTATCCCTCAGGAAAGCTCGGAAGACCATTTGATTTTGGTTTACATAGGTCTAATAAACCATTCAGTTTTATAGCATCTACTGGAAGCAAGCTTGTGTACAGTAAAGGTAGTTCCTGAAGCGTATTATCTTTCGTTCTCATCCTTCGATTTTATTATCGTGAGATCATGAGCATATTTATACTTGAATTTTATTTCATGAGGCATGTCTGAGGAAAAGTGTATTTCCTTTACCCTACTTATCTTCAACTTTTCTCCGCAGTCGTCTTTGTTACAATTTTCCGATTTTATCTTTTGTTTAAAACTCACAAAGTCATTCTGGGATATCTCTTTCACAATCCAGTTACTTTCGCCATGCGAATCAACATGATCCATTGATCGGGGGTATAAATTGCCGGTTGTCGCTTTTTGGCGTTTTCCTGACTCCTTTTTCTTTTTGATTTTTCAAAAAGCTCAAAATACAACTGCTTATTTCGTTTGGTCCTCTCTTCGCAATTACCTCATGCCAAACATAACAGTAGCCTTCATGACTTTCTATATCATAAATTGTAAAGTTGTATGTGGCGAGCTGACTCTTGTAATAGAAGTCGCTCACTGCAGATTGGGGTGTCATGAGGACTTTTTGTAGGTCAAAACAAGCGACACAAACCGACTTATCATTGATCGCCGTGTCGTTATCTGCATCTTTCAAGGCTCTAGCGGCTTTCTTATTAGAAAGGTGTTTTTCATACTTTTCTTCTATTTTTGTTTACCTACTGGACCTTCTAGTTGATAGATACAGAGGCTGCACACTCCTTTTTTGGTTTAAAGAATGCTAATTTAAATTCGGCATTGATAACCTCTCTATACTGTCTCAAAGTACCCACTTCTTTAACACTTTTTTCTTGCATGTATTTTAAGTATAGTCGGTGTCTTCAAAGTACATTTTTGTCGATTTCTTTCTGGTGTAGTGGGCAGGCATCACAGGAAAGAGTTTAATGTGCTGTCTAATGCCATTTAAGATACTTTCATCAATTTTGTTTGGTTTTGTGGAATGCTTTCCTCTTATATCTTTTTCAAGTGAGCCTGTTTTTCCAATTTTACTTAGAGCAGTTGCCACCCACTGTTCTGATATCCCATGAAAATTAAGGAACATAGCCTTGCAGACCGTTATTTCATTATTATTGACAGTAAGCAGATATTTTCTGGAGAAATTCAATTTGATATAGTTTTCACCGGCGGCAATGTCGGTTATTAACTGGTTACCTATACCTTTGTGGCTTATTCTTGCACCAAAGAGAGCCTGATTATAGCTATCGATACAATATATTAAGTCAAAACCAGTGATTTTTGAGTTACAGGGGTCGATATAATAATTTATAATATAATAGCAATCATTTTTAAGAAAAAAATATGCAAAACTAGGCCACAGCTATTAGTTATGCGATATACAGGCTAAGAAAGCAACTCATTATGTTAAGAATAAATAATTTGTTAAAACTACGTATAATTCAAATTCGGCTTAAGCTTGGTTTTGAATATGTAATTATGATAAAAATTCAGTTTAGCATGAAATTCCTTTGAACGTTTTCTGAACTTCTGTTACACAATGTATATTTTTAATAGCATTTAAACAGTATTTTAGTTTTGGGTGCTTTTGGCGATACTGATACCAAGTATGGATTTCGGCCTTCTTGGAACTACGCTCGACAACATCTCATTACAGAAGCTTCGTTTCGATTCACCCGATTAGCGATTTTTCTAAAAAAAGCTTCACGTAACCCGATTATCCGACCACTCTCAAACTGGGAAAGGTGAGTGAGAAATTAGCCCGTCTGCGAAACCTAGGCATGATAATCCAATGAAATAAATGGAACTAATACAGAAAAATCACTGAATATCAAGTAAACATATTCATATTGTTCGGATCCTGATATGCCAAAAAAGTACTGCTCGGAATGCCTCCAACATTTTATCAGCGTATACTTCGGTGATAGCAAATATGTTTACAAGTTTTCATCAAAATTCAATAAATAATTCTGGGTGTTTCATTTTTTATGTCAGTTAGTTTATAAATCGTGTTTTTTATCGCTACTAACCCGAGAAATCGCCATTATTGACCGCATTCTCCAATGAAAAGTAACTTTTCTCGCCGTAGGTGAATAGTGATAATAAAAAAGCACCTAGCAAAATAATACAGGCCCACAAAAGTGAGCCGATTCTCTTACCTAGAAGCTAGAGTATACTTTGTCGAAGGTTTTTGTTCCGCTCATTCCGAATCCAAATCTCCCAATTGGCTTTAGTTTTCGATAAATCCTAACATAACAGTGCAAAAATACGTTTTTGCCTATATTTGAGGATATGCAGCATGTCGAGTAGTAGTAGTTTAGTTTTTTTTAGGTGACGATTTCTCAAAAACTAACTCCGGGAAAGCATACTCTGGTTTCTGGGTAAAAATCTTGTCGGTCTGTATAACAAATGATATTTATGATTAATTGTATACTGTCGGCTTTATTGTCAGTTTTACAACTTATATTCCACAATATTTAGTAACTACTGAGAAATAACTAATGGTGGGCATTGTTACCGCTAATATCCAAAATCCGCTAATATGCATAATAGCTACACATAATAGGAATTATGCGTAAATACTAAAACCGTCGGTTAGTATGCAAAATAACGGCACGTATCAGGAATTATCGATAACTACTAAAATCGTCAGTTATTATGCATATTCCCTGTCCAAATTAGAAATTATGCGTGATCTTCATCTACTTCCATCACAACAGCAATTACATTGCGGAAAGATCCACGAGCATGGTCGACATCCGGAATAGGAGCAGTGACATTAGTACCTACTAAACATGGCGAATATTTTGAATTGGATGTCTTTATGTGCTTGCTGTTGAAGATTTTGTGATGCTTCACTTCTTATTTCCAAAATTTGTGTATTTCGATTTTCTAGTGCTTTGGGAATATTATTTGGGTTGTTTTCGTTATTATCTGTTTCCTGTTCATCTATCTCATAGTCGTAACTTTGCAAAAAAAACATCCAAATCCTCCTCAGTAACAATTTTCCAACTTTCGGTTCACAGCCAAACAAAGCTTTATATGGCGACATTTTCACTCCAGCATGGAAATATCTATTTTTCATAAATTGCACTGTAGATAAACCTTTCGACCATTCGCTAGTTTTGTTGTCGGACATCCAGGTGGTTAGCATTGCCTCAACATCGGCGTTTGCTCGTTCGACACTCCCTTGACTTTGGCTGTGATGGGGTTTTCCATTTACCAATTTCAGACCTGGTCATTCCACTGTTAAGTTTCGTATTATTTAATTAACGAACTCTCTTCCATTATCATTGAAATAAAAAAACTCATAAAATAGAAGTAAAAGCTTTAACAGTTAGGTAGTAGGTACCTGTGTAATATCGATGGAGCTCCAAAAATACAAAAAATATTTATACTTCTTTGATTTTAATCCATGTAACATAAGAAATTTAGTCAGATGATCTTGGTATACAAGTATAAACTTAAATTCACCATCAGCTTCAGACTGCATATCTATCAAGTCGACTTGAGCACGGCTATTAAATTCTTTGTGAATTATTGGTTTTACAGTGATACCTATTCGCTTTTTGGATCGCTTTAAATGACAAACTTCGCAAAGTGAAAAGTATATTGAAATAATTTCTTGTGTAATATTCGAATACTGTTTGGACATTTCAGTCTTCATTCGATCTCTTCCTCCGTGACCTATACTTCTGTGACAAACGGTTAAAATATCAAACATTTCTTCAACGGGATCAACATAGCGAACATCTCGTATGTCAATCACTATATTATTAGAATCTTCATTATTTTCCTTTCTCGTTTGTTCTTTATTTCGCGTTACAAGCTTTTCAATATTTCCGACTTCAACAATTCCAAATCTTTTAAGTCTACGATACTGTAATGCAGTTTTGGGACCATTATTTGAAGAAGCATCCCTAACCTAGAGAAAAACATCAAGAATTAAACGTCAAAATATAGATGCTATATTAGTTTAAAATCATTCTCACCTCGGATAAAAGCACGTCATATTCATCCTTGAATAAAATGTTTAATCGTGAGTTTGTTCTTCCCTTCAACTTTTTAACTTTACCGAAAAATTTAAATTTAATGTTATCAACAGGTAGTGCAGTCATTGCGATGAGAAACTCCAACAATAAAACAATCAAAACCTAGGTAACCTTAAACTTCAACGCACACTTCAACGTACGACCAGTCGTATTTTGTGAGGTTACATGTATAATCACTAATATACACAGCAGATATTATGCATAATTCCTATTGCTGTGTCAGTTATTATCAATATTTACTAAAAATATGGCGATACTTTGCATAATTACTGACGATTTTAGTAGTTATCGATAATTCATGATATCCTGATACGCGCCGTTATTTTGCATACTAACCGTCGGTTTTAGTATTTATGCATAATTCCTATTATGTGTAGTTATTATGCATATTAGCGGATTTAGGATATTAGCGGTAATAGATACATCTATTTAATCTATTGTTTTTGAGTAAAACCGATCTTTATTTTTATTAGTTTATTTAGATACGCTCATTTTTGTTCCGTTTAAGCATAATTCGTGATTTTTGGAAATTGTGCAATAAAAGCATAACATCAGTTTTATTTATTAAAGGTGTTTTAGAAAAAAACTGTAGAAAACAATTCCAAATAAAATCCTTTATTTTCGTGCAGATAGTTTAAGCATCTGATATGGAAAAAGTTTAAAATTTCAGAGGCATCACTTTGGAGCGTCATAAGCTATTGGCGCTTTGACCGATTATGTTTACACGCTGTTCAATTTTTACAGATATGTTTGGATCGCCCTGTATGAGTGTAGCACTTGTGGCTAATTTTACGATATTTGTACAAGGAGCGGTTCATGCGAGGGAATAGCTATTTTTAGAAATAAACGTGAACATGCTTGATCCTTCCATATTTTTTAGGTAAATAAGTTTTGAATCACAGTTTATTGTTGAATTAAAATAACATTTAAGGCTTCCCAGTTCCACCATATATTCCGTTGTAAAACATGCAGTCGTAGTTCTCGTCTAACTCATTTGTTTTTTGGGATGCAAACAAGAAATCTGGTCATATGAAAGTGATGTGCTTGATGTAGTGAATTACTTTCGATTTTTAAGTTTTCATGAAAAAAAAATTGTAGAATTAAAAATTGTACATTCTTAAGTACCTATGTGGTTAAAGAAGCAACCATGATATCGGACAAGGGAATCATCTTCAAAAATAACTTGAAAATCTTGCAAAATGGTAAGCTGGCTTCAGCCTCATATCCTCACCGTGTCGAACTTCCTACATCCAGAACTGGCCGATATGACCGCTTCTTTGTCCTTAGGGTATCGAGATTGTGGAAAAATCTATAAGAGGAGGCTTTTTCCAGTTCTAATAACCTTAGGCAGTTCAAAAATCGGATTAGCAACCTTTCTTTGGGATCCTCATAGCAGCCGCGGTGTCCTGGGATTTAGGCTTCTGCCTGCACGGCTGCTTCTGTGTAAAAATGTCCAACGTTCCATAGTCAACCTATTTGCTTCACCATTTTTTTCTAAGCTCAAAAAGTGTTTCACAATTTTACATCACCTTGTTTTATAATGGGGTGCAATAGAACCAACTAAGCAGTTTTTATGAAAAAGACATCTGGATCTATAGAAAAAAAAATGTGTTTATTTTCGGAGCGAGCAGCTTATGCTATTTGATACCTATTAAGTTTTGAATCCTAAAGATCCTCCTAAAGATCTGAATAGCTCGTTCACACATATCGCGGGGAATAACGTTAACTTCTTCAACAAGCCATTCTCTTAGGTATAATAGAGTATGGGGAGCATTTCTAAACACTTTTTGCTTTAGATAGTCACTCTAGACGCTCGAATCTTTTGACCTTACAGGCCACCCTATAACATTTTTCAACGAGACAAGACGTCCTGCAAACATTTCTATCAAAACATTTATTGAATGTTGAGCTGTGTGCGTGGGCTTCGCATAGAGATAACTTTCTGTGAAAGTGTACCTGCCCTCAAAACTTTTTGAAGAGCAGAACTGTATCTGACCCCGAAACTGAAGGGCGGATCTACCAAATCTTTTCAGCGGGTCAAATCACCAAAATAGTACACAAAAAATGCTAAATATGCAAATTTTAAGATCGAACAGGATTTTTAGAGGGGCGGGGCCCCCTCGCAGCCCCGTACGGGCGTCCATGGCTGTGTGAGCTGCAATTCCATAAACAAGTTTTCTAATCCCAACCCAAGTTGGAAGAATTCCTTGAGGCAGAGGGATTAGGGACTGTCCTATGTGTTTTGCTGCCTATACCTAGTGTTACGGAACTTCTATTCCAGAAACAACCCTATCTTTAGCTTCAAAGTTCAATATGTCAGAACCGTTGCTAGGTCGATATTTTTTGTATATTATTTACATTTGTATATTAGAATTACCCATTCACGTATTACCCCTTCGAATAGTGTAAGAAAGTACAAAAAGTTAACCGCATACCTAAAAGGCGGTCTGTAAATTAAGTGATTTTTTTATTCAAATATAATTACAATTTTATGTTGTCACCCTCAAAATAACTTCCTTCTGAAGTTACACAGCGCTGAAGACGGTGCTTCCACTCCTCGTAGCAGGGCTGGAACTCCGATACTGGAATAGCCTTCAGCTGGTCGGTTACAGCCGTTTGAATGTTTTCGACTGTCCCAAATTGAGTTCCCTTGAGGTGATTTTTCAACTTCGGGGTTAAATAAAAGTATCTAAGACTCAAGTCAGGTGAATAAGGAGATTGAGGAGCCACAGGAATGTTTTTACTAGCCCAAAACTCGTTTGTTGACATTGCTGTGTGACATTATCGTGATGCAATACCCAGTTTTTGGTGATCTAATGAACGGTGATGTGAGTCAAATTTAACTCTTCCCGATCATTCGGACTGTCAACCAACGTTGTGACGCTCAAGGTGTCGATGTTTTCGTCGGTTCTTGAAAATGAAGGCTTTCCGCTTAGTGGTTCATCTTCAACCGACTTCTGGAAATGCCTTAAACCGCCAAAAAACCTGGGCTCTTGACAAAACACTATCCCCGTAGGTCTGGGTTTCCATTGCACTGTGCCCAAATCTGAAGCAAAGGCTGATAGTATGCCGTTGATCGAAATTGATATCACAATAGAAGAAAAAACTGTTCGGACTGTACGGACAACCAAATGACTCGAGCGAGTTCAAACGTGTACTGATGCCGGATCTCCTGTTTCCCTATCTCCCTTCCAAGCCCGGTGCCTCCAGTGTTGCCAGATCGAACGCTACGTTGCCAGTCTCATCACTTAATTTACAGACCTAGTAGTATAGTGCTACGTTATTTCCATCATGCGTTTATGGAACACCGACAGTTTATATTTACTCAGAAAAAACATTTACACCGAAGAACTTATGCAAATGTAATAAAAGTCTTCAGTGCAATTTGAGCGTAAATCACTATTTTTTTCGCTCAGAGATTCGTACGGCAATATTCCTAGAGCTGATTTAAAACTTCGCATTCTCCTTGTATGAATTTAAAGCAGAATTTTGAAAACGACTCGATGCTACTACTAAGGTGCAACAGCTTAAAGCCGCAGACTGTCAATAAGTAATTTTTATCAATAATAACTTGCATTGATGAAAATTATTTCGTTATATAGGTCTAGTATATTTTACGAATACGATGTTAATTTAATACAAACTGTAAATAGTTGATTTTATATTTTGTAAAAGATTCATCTTCTTCGCTGTTTGGGGCGGAGATGAGGCATTGCCGATTCTCAGCCTTTTGGGGTGTGTATGTATTTCGAACTTTTATGTACATTTTCTGTTCAGATGCCCCAATAAATATTATTACTATTATTTTTATTATTGTTTTCCTTTAAAATCATCGCATATAATCAATTGAGAGCTCAGGAATTTTCCGAGTAACGGGTGTGCTTAAGGCTGTGAGGTGATATATTTAATTCTCTTTTAGTCGTAAACTATGACACTAAAAACTAATTAGCTAGATGATAATTTACAGGTTTTTTTTCTATAGATGATTTATAGCATATTTGGTCCGGCAACAGCGACCTAAAAGTTTCTCTGGGCATATCCCCAGCACAGACGAGAACCATCAGCGACTGTGAAATTTGGATAGTTGTTACTTTGTCAGGCAACAGGTAGTAAAGGTGTATAAAAAAATACCTTAAATTCGTTAAAGTATAAAGCCCAGTTTTTTATATTTCCTTCAGAATGATGTACGATAAAATTACTTTTCCCAGAGATGTTCTTGATGGTAATGTTAATTTAGAGACCTTATTTCACAGCCATCAAATAAATTAGCTATCTTACTAGGTGTTCGTCTTGTAATGTTTGTCGATTGTACAACCAAGTTCCAACAAATATCAACAAAGCTGTAATGTCAACTTTAAAATTCAAATATAAAAAACTCATTGACTCTAGTTAGTTGAGCGATTTTTTATGGCTGCTTCTTATGTGCATATTCTGAACTACCGGTATAAATCAGCTAGATGATTTTAGATTCTTTCACGAAACTTTAATAAATTAGAGTTAAACTTTCGTCATAGTATAAAAGCTGAAATTTATATTTGTTACTTGCGGGAATATCAAAAGATGTTACTCCAGTAGCTAGACAGTTTTAATCATTTTTATATTGTGCCAGACACATCGCAAGGCAAGGCGATATACACATATATTCAAGCAGATGCTAGTGAGATATAAGTTCGGTCTAATGCGCTCTTCAGCTGGTCGGTTACAGTTTGGATGTTTTCGACTGTCCCAAAACGAGAAAGAGAAAAAAGTCACAAAGACTCAAGGCAGACGAATAAGGAGGCTGATGAGCCACCTCAATGTCTTTACTGGCCAAAAACGCGTGTATTGGCATTGCTGTGTGACAAAAAGCATTATCGTGATGCAATACCCAGTTGTTCTTGATGTTTGGTCTCACACGAATGACCATTTTTCGTATTTTTTCAAGAACCTCCCGGTACAAGTGTTGGTTGACAGATTGTCCTTGAAGTAGAAACTCTTTGTGGACGATTCCGTGGATATCGAAAAAAAAGTTAGCATGCATTTCACTTCGTCTTTATTGGTCTTTTTGGGCGTTGGAGAGGTTGAAATGTGCCACTTCATGCTATGGGGCTTGGTTTCTGGGTCAGCAATGACACGATCCAGAAAATGGGGGTCATTTTCAATCGAATCTAAATGTCATTTGCACCTTTTCTTCTTTTTGGTCTTGCGGAAGGCTTTTTGGAATCAGTTTTGCTCAGATTTTTCTTATCCCCTATTCACTGGTCCAAATCTGATGCACAATGGTGTGAGTCAAATTTAACTCTTCCCCCGATCATTCTGACTGTCAACCAACGATATCAACGAACAAGATCCTGGGTGCTGTCGATATTCTCATCGGTTCTTGAAGATGAAGACCTTCCATTTAGTGATTCGTCTTCATTCGAGTTTCTCCCTTCTGAAAATGCCGTAATCGTCCGAAAATCCTGGGCTCTTGACAAACCACTATCTCCGTAGGCCTGTTGAAGTTTATCAAGAGTTTCCGTAGCACTGTGCTCAAATCTGAAGCAAAATCTGATAACACACTATTGCTCGAAATTGATGTCCTTCATTTTTAGAACAAAATAGAAAAAATTGTTTAATAAAAACACTATCCAACGTTCCCCTGTCTCTTCTCCAAGCCCAGCGTCTCCAGTGTTACATCGAACGCTACGTTGCCAGTCTCGTCACTTAATTTTCGGACCTCGTATATTTTCAGCTTTTATACTGCGACTAAAGCTTAACTCTAATTTATTAAAGCTCAGGGGTGTCTGGCAGGAGGTTGAAACTGTACTTAGTGTGTGTCTGTGTGACAAAAAATTGAAAACTTGAACTTGTACTTTAGAGGCAATTGCAAACTTGAAAAATGTAATTGCCAGGCGATTACGATCCTGCTAAGTAACTTATCTGGGTGTGTTTAAACACGTTGCGTGTGTTCAAGTTGTATCAGGCTTATCCTAAGACTATTTTGTCTGTTGATGATTTTCGAAATACATTTTTGTTTCGGAGATACATACCCCTAAAGGACGCAGCTTGAATTTGGTTTTTCTTAAATAACCATCGAGCAAGATGGTACATCCAATGAAATTTTGACAGTATAGTAACTAGTTGATGATGCCCGTATAAAAAAATATTGACTTATGTAACTCGCTATGGATGGACTAGCTCTAATCAAATATTACTATTTCTCACATCCTGTATAATAATGGATCAAAAGTTAGACTTCATCTTTAACCTGGAAAAATGAATCCTTGTTTGATTTCAATAAAATGGATCATTCTTGAGAAAAGTGTTATCGCAGTACTGTTTTATCGATTGTGATACTGATTCTGATATGCTAGTTCTGCCCTTTTGCAAATATGGTAATTTTGATCAAATACTCGTAATCAGCGATCCGAGAAACTCCCGGACATGAATTTTCACATCACTTTACGAGTGCTAGGCGATTATATAACTTTGACTTCATCGTAAATGGCTATAGATGCGGGTATGGAACAAGGTTGCTTTTCTCAAAACCGGTTCATTCTATCTAAATCGAAAGTCATACATTTTTTTTCAGATGAAGGATTCGGCTTCCTAGAGAATATTATTACATTTAATCGATCTAAATGAGTTGACTATTTTCGAATTGTGAAGCTACTAACTATACCCTCAATGATTATTCCAAAAAATCGCTTTACAGTGGCTCCTTTTGGAGTCATGTATTTCCGAAATAAAGCGCTACTTCGAAAATGGTCAAAAGACACAATAGCTTTACAATAATCCAAAGAATCACCTCCAGTATATTGCCCCGTGTTTATACTGCATACTTTTAGACTCGTCTGGCAGGTGTTTAACAGCGTCGTAATCGCGTGGCAATTATATTTTTTCCACTTTGCAATGGTCAAATTAAATCACTTTATAATTTCAAGCTTTAAATTAGATGTTCAATTTTTTTACAATATAATATGAATAATGAAAGCAACGGCTTCGTCCTGTCAGGTTGCTGTTTCGGTACTTCACAAGCCATGAATCATCTCCGAAAACATTTCCAATGTTTAGACACAACCGTTACCTGAATGGTGTCTGTGATCACTTTAATAAAGTATCCGTTATCCGCGACTTCATATGCGTTAAATTGTTACTACCATATAACATTGTTTTCGAGTATTGCTATAATTAGCATTAGTAAATCGATAAAAAAACTTGCATGTTTGGGAAATTTGGTTATTTTATCAATGGAGCTATATTCATAAATTTTACTCTAAATAGAATCTCATCGTTGCAAATTTTTAGGTATAAGAAAACTCCAAGCACTTTCAAACAAATTTGAAAGTGCCCTTTAATCCCTAATCCGGCCCTCCACAAAATCCGTTCTTAACTGAAATGTCCTGTCCATAATGTCTATCCGTATTCCGTACATATGTCCCCTTAAACTAGGTCTGTTGCAACATCCGTTTTTAGCAAACATTCCAATTCTATGAACTACCTCTCAACCAAACGTCATGTCCACAGGTTGAATAGTTTTCGAGGTTTTGTATAATTAATGTGTATCTTTTCGCTTTTATATGTATCTGTCCGGCCCAGTTCCAAAATATACTAAGTGACATATAAATCCGAACACCCAGTTTAAATGGTTTTATTTGAATAAAATTTTGTATAAGTACTTAATGAAGCATAATAAGTAAATGATAAAAACTTCAAAATGATTGCACTGCTTTAAAGCCCTTTGACCTTTAATAATGTGTGGATGCACCGTGATATGCTACGCATTCTCCAACGCGCCTAGGCATGCTTCTGATCAGGTGGTCAATGTCCTCCTGTGGTATCTCATTCCAGGCAACCACCAACTCCTCTCGAAGTGTTTCTAGAGTCTGAGGAGGACGTTGCAAATTGAGCAATCTCCTACCCATCATATCCCACACGTGCTCAATTGGGGATAAGTCGGGAGATCTTGGTGGCCATGGTAACAATGTGACATCATTATGTTGAAAGAAGTCTATTGTAACTCTTGCAACATGTGGTCGGGCATTATCTTGTTGAAAAGTTGGATCTGATGAAGATTAAAGGTGACCTGGAACAATAAGCTATAGCACCCCAAACCATAACTCCAACAGTGTGATGAACATGTCTTTCGACAAAAAACTGTGGATTCCTCCTTTCACCACGTCGCCTTCTAACCCTGGCACGACCATCGTGCATGCCTAAACAAAATCGCGAGTCGTCACTAAAGACAATACTGTTCCATTCCTGATCCCAGAGTGACCGATGTCTGCACCACTCAAGGCGATTACGTCGGTGTTCTCGAGTTAAAGGGAGGACCCAGTGTGGCCGGTATGAAAACAAGTCAAAACTTCTCATTCGCCGGTAAACACTTCGCATGCCAATAGGTCTTCCGTGTTCTGCAAACCATTCATTTGCAATGGACCTGGTAGTGGAGAAACGGTCCCTTAAGGCCAATAATCTTAGGCGGCGATCTTCACGGTCTGTTGTTCTACGGCGGCGTCCAGTGCCCCTTGCTCTTTGCGTACGGCCTTCTCGAAGCCATGCCTGACAACACCTAACCACAGTGTCTACACTTCTTTGCACTCTAACTGCAATTGCCCGAAAAGAAAGTCCAGCTTCCCGAAGTCCCACTATACGGCCCCTATCAAACTCACTAAGTTGACGAAATCGTACAGGTCTCCGTACTCTAGGCATCGTAACCGATCGTAAAGGATGTCAAGAACCAAAATCCGCCAACGTTGATTCTTTACTGCGGCTGAAATATTCATTTTTAGAGCGTTAGTGAATAAAAAAAAAGCAGTATAAAAACCGGAATGTCCAACTGA